TGCTTCCTTGCACATTCAGCAGCAGCTCCGTGCAGGGGCAGCCCCTGGCTCCTGGTCCGAATCCTGTTGGGAGCAGCCCACCCTCAGCTCCAAGGCTCTCGGCAGCTGGGAGGAGACGGGAAGGACTTGCTCCAGGCCAGGAAATCCTTGCTTTCTCCTCCAGCCGGGCCGCAGTGGGCAGCCACAATGCTCGCTTCCCCCGCGCCGCTGCCAAGCCCCGGCGTGACCCGGGGGCGGCCGGGCCGGGAGCCGCAGGGGAGAGGGACGAGGGGGGCTGCGGGAGGGCGATAAGGAAACCGGCTCCCCTCTGGTTCCTGCAGCCCGGGGAGAGGCCGGCAGCGGGCCAGGCGCCGGCCCACTCCTGTGATGTCGGTGCGGCCGTGCCAGCCTGGACACCGGGTTATGTATCCAACTCGTCATCCCTGAGGAACGCGGCATCCCCCTGCCAAGGGGAGAGCCTGGCACTGAGCTGGAGAGGCTTTGGGCTCTGCAGCATCCCCGCACCGGGGTCTGACAGCAGCACGGGCTCCGAGCAGCCCCGGCTCACCGGGCACCGCGGACGTGCCTCTGCAGCGTCCCTGTCCCCGCGGGAACCGGCAGTGCCCGGCAGGGGACGGTGCCCCGGCTGTGCATCCGTGTCGCCAGCCGTGAGCCTGCAGGGTGGCTGGGATGTCACATCGGGAGAGCGCAGCGCCAGCAGGATGGCGCTGGCAGGGGACGCTTGTGCTCTGAGGAGCTGCCAGCCTGCTCGGGGCCGCGCTGTGCTGCAGGGGAGCAGCAGCAGCCTCGGGAGAGCCTCTCCTGCAGAGCAGCCTGTGCTGCCCCTCCGCACAGAGCTGGCTGCCCGGAGCTGCCCGGCTGCAGGGCGGTGCCGGGGCCAGGACAGCCCGGTGTGTGCACACAGCTGCTGACCCGAGGCACGGGTCACATTCTGCCCCCCCGGGAAATCCCTCCCACCGAGCAGCTTTGGCAGGTCGCTTCCAGGCTCCATTTGGGCTTTAGAAGCTGCTGCCATGCTTTGGGACACGTGGCTTCCCCTGAGAGGGAACCAGGAGCTGTGGGAACTCCTTGCATGCCCCGGGCAGACGTGGACACAAGCAGGCAGGGTCTTTGCACGTGGGGTGCTGAGCACAGGCCTGGCGACACAGGCTGGGTTTTGTGCTGGAGTTTTCCACCCGGGGTGTTAGTGAGAGGCTGTGCTGCTCAAGGGCACAGAGCACCAAATCCTGCAGCTTCCATGAGCCCCCAAGAACCATGTCTCTGGCAGCTTTACCCCTGGGTCCTGCTCTGTGCCCCTCAGACCTGCACCAGTGGGATCCCCTCCACGGCACCCTCATCCCACAGCCCCTCCTCAGTGGGTGACAGCTGAGCCCCGGTGCTGGTGACACTGATCTGTGGGGTTCCTGTTTGGGATGCTCACCCCACTGGTGCTTCCCACTCCCTGTGATCTCTCCTTCCGTACCCCCGGGCCTCACTCTGATTTTAATGAGGAGGCAGCTGAGAATTAAGGTCAAAGCCTTGAGGAAGACCTCACCCGGCAGCGTTCCACGGTGGGAGACCTGCGATGTCGCAGAGGAAATCATCCCCCGTGCGTTTCACACAGCCTGAATTTGGGGGTTGCCCTCCCATCTCTGCGCTGGCCCAACCCCTCCCCGTGTCCTTTCTTCACACCAACCACCCACGGGCTCTCCTGATCTTCAGCGAAGCCTTCAGCCCCCCCAAGGTTTGGTGAGCGGCCACCATCTGCCCTGGGGGCTCACCGAGCTCTCCCCTCCGCGGGTGGCAAAACCTTTCTCTCTAGGAAGCGTCTCCCTTCACCATCCGCCGGCAATGACGGGCTGCACAGAACATCACCACCCTCCTGTGCCTGCGCCAGGCACTGCACCGCCCGGCAGCCCCAGGGAACTGCTTACAAACCCATCGGTTCGGGAGTTCTGTATTCTGGTGCCTGGGAGAGCCCCGGGAGGAGCTGGAGCTGGGGAAGCTCCAGCGCTGGGATGCCACACAAGTACCTGTCCCCTGCAAAAAGAGGACCAGGAACAGGACGTGCCTGTGGCTTTCTGATTGGTTTGTTTGTTTGGATGGTTTTTTACAAAATAAATGTGCCTTTTGCTGTGTGTGAAGCACCAGCGAGCTAAGGCATCCCAGGGGATCCCTGCAGTTACTGGAAGCCTGCAAGAACTCCCAACTGCTCGTGCTGGGTCACACAGGTCAGGGGCTGTGGGTGCCCTGCCGTGGAACCCATGCAGTGGGATTGAGAATTCCTGAGCCAGCACTTTCCTCCTGGCTCATGTCCCAGGCTTGGGGATGTTCCTGCCTCTGCAGCACCTGCAGCCCCTGCTGGAAACCCAGCCCCCTCCACGGGGCTGCCCCCTCGTTTTCAGGCTCCCAGCAAGTTCACAAGCCAGCACCATGGTTGGCTTTTTCCCCCTCTCCCTCCTGGTTTTCCCAGGTTCCTCCTCAAAGTATTCCTCTGGAAGTAGTGTGGCATCTCTGAGAACCTCCCTCTCCATCACCCCCAGCACAGGACATTTCCAGGGTGGGCACTGAGCTTTTGGTTGTTTTTTTCTGTTTATTTCTTTTCCCCCTGCAAACAATTGCAGGAAATCAGGCTGGTTTTAAGTCACAGAGAGCCTCACATTAATTCAACTCTTCCATGTACTCAAGGAGGGTACAGCTCTTCTGCACCTGCCAGCTCCCAGCTTGGGGAATCCCACATGGGACAACTCCAAACCAGCAGCTTGAGCTTTGGTGCAGCAACTTTTCCACCTGAGGATCCTCCATCATCTATAAATCCTCCAAGTATCAACACATGATTTCTGGATGTGGCCCTTGGATCTCGATTTGGGGAATTTCTTGGCAAGAAATGAGATGTTTGAACTCCAGGCTCCAGATTAGTTGTTGCTGCTCCTGGCTGGTGAGAGCTCTCCTCATCTGGGGCTGCCACAGATCTGCCATGCGGGGACTGAGGGTATCCAGGAGGTGCCTGCGAGATCGGAGCTGCCACGGCGGGGTGCCGAGGGAGCCGAGAGACCCCCCCGGCAGGGCGGCACGTCCGATCCCGGCTGACGCTGCTCCGAGCGGCTGCCTGGGTCTGCAGCCCCGGGCAGCAGCGTGTGGGATGTCCCCACCCGGGGTTCTGTGAGCTGACGCTCAGGTGGCAGCCCTTGGGAAAGTCGGGACACGGGGGCTGCAGGCTCTCGGGGTCCCCCAGAGCCGGGCTGTGCCTGACGTGCAGCCTCGCAGCTCCCTGCAAGCAGAGCTGTTCAGGAGCAGGGCTGGGCATGGAGATCTGGGGCTGAAAAACAAACCCAGCCAGTCCTGAGGCTCTGCGAGGAAGGGGAAAGTGCTGCTGGAGAGATCCACAGCGACATCCCCTGCGCAGGCAGGGACACTCCAGCCACGGCCAGGCGGGGCTGGGATTCCGCGGGACACTGGGGCAGGAAATGGAAAAAGCCTTTTTCCACTCCTCCCTAGTCAGATAGATGACTTTTTCTGTGGGGAAACAGCTCAAGAGGGGAATACTCGGCAGCAGCGAGTCCCAGTGAAGGGACAGGGGCTGCTGGTGGCTCTCCTCCAGGTGACCTGGGGTGGCAGAAAAGCCCTGAGGGGTTTGTGCAGGAGTTCTGCAGCTTTCAAACCCAAGAGCTGTGTGTTGATTTGTCACAACACAGAGAGTGCTCTGCTGCATCCCCCTCGCAGCCCTTGGAGGGGAACTGAGGCACAGAAGTGCATGAGGCCCCTCTCTCGATGCTAGAACTGCTCAGAGGAGGGTCAACTTCTCCTCCCAAAAATCCCAGGCCTCCATCTTCCTTTTCCTCCACCACCTGGAAGGCTGCTGAGTCTCCTTGTAGGGAAAGCCCATTCTGGGAGCTGCCAGCCCAGCGGGCTCGGGGCCAGAGCTATCAGCCCCAGAGGGAAGGCAGGGAGCTGGGGACTGCAGCAGGTGCTGGCAGCTTCATCCCAGGGACAGTGCTGCCAGGGGCAGGCAGGCTCCCTTCTCCCTCTCAGCTCTCCTGCTTGTTCCATGGGTGCCAAGGGGCTGGCTTGGGCAGCCCTGCTCCTTAGGACAGGGAGAAATATTTTCTGTTGTCAGAAGGATGGCCAGAAGGAAGTGGCTTTTCCCTTTGCAAAGTGTGAAATGTAATTCGCTCCCAGCAGGGTTCAGCTGCAATTTGAGGTGTTTGTCCCCAGCCTGTCCAGGAGGATGCCGTGCCATCATCCCTGAGGCTCAGGGGAGGGGCAGGTTCTGCACAGAAATGCTTGTGGGAAGATGTTGGGGCTCTGCACAAGCCACTCTGGGGGCCTTGGGAATAGGAACTCTGATGAGGACATCACAGCAGAGTCACACGGCAGGGACATGGATGGGGCAGCGTGGAGGGTGCTGAATGTCTGCATCTTTTCTACTACATCACTCCTGGTGCTAGGGACTGGCACAGGTGCCAGCACCCCCCTCCCTGCCCTGGCACAGCCACGTCCTCCCTCCATCCAGCCTCGTGGTGTTGCCATCCAGCAGTGCCCTGGAAACCCCTCAAACCCACCATGGAAAAATCCTGTTGGGGGGCACAGGGCCACACCACAGCCAAGCAGGGATGAGCCCTGCAGAGCCCTGGCACTGGGGTCTCAGGGCTGGGCAGGGCGGACAGAGGCTGGCAGGGGCTGTGGGACCCTGGGCTGCAGGGCCCTGGGTGCCCATGGGGACAGGCAGAGCCTGGCAGGGGGCCCTGGGAACTGCCAGAGGGTGCAGAGCTGGTGTGCCCTGCCCGGTGCTCAGGACATGTGCATGGTGCTTGTGCCCTCTGCCCAGTGCCTGGTGCTCAGGGTTTGCTGGTGCCCACAGACCTGTGGAGTGCAGTGCCCCCCTCCCAGTCCCTGCCTGCTGCCCAGAACCAGTGTGGTGCCAGTGCTGGCGCCAGTGTCCAGAGCTCAGTGCCCGGTGCATGGCACACGGTGCCTGTGGATGGCACTGGTGGCTGTACTGGTGTCAGTGCCCGGTCCTGGTGGTGGTGACAGTGCATAGTGACACTGCCTGCTGTGTGGTGCTCTCTGTGCACTGTGTGGTGCTGGTGCCAGTGCCCATACTGGTGCTGGTACCCACTCCTGGTGCCCAGTTCCTGGTACCAGTGGCTGGTGCTGGTTTGGTGCCTCGGTACTGATGGCCTTGCCTGGTGCCCAATGCCCCTGTCCAGTGCCAAGTGTCCCTGTCCGGTTGTGGTCCCAGTGGCCCCTGAGCAGTGTCCATGTTCACTGCCAAGCTCCCAGTGCCCAGTGCCCATTGTCCAGTGCCCAGTTCCTTGTGGCCCCTGCCTTGTGCCAGTGTGCGGTGGGCTGGGCTGGGGGGTGGTGTTTGGGCTGGGCAGTGGGCGGGCTCTGGCTGCGGGGTGTTCCTGCCCCGCTGTCTCGCGGCCGGTCCGTCTGTGTGTCTGTGGGGCCGGTCCGTCTGTCTGTCGGTCGCTCGGGGCGGCGCCGCTCGGGGCGGTCCGTGCAGGAGGAAGCGCAGCCGGGGCAGAGCGGCCCCGCGGCGGCCGGAGCCGCGCGCTCGGTGAGTACCGGGGGATCGCTGCCCCCACCGTGCCCGCGTCCTGCCTGCTCCCCCCTGCGCCTCTTCCCCTGCCTGCCCTCCTTCTTCCTCTGCGCCCCCCTCCCCGATTCCCCACCTCCCACCGCCTGTCCCGTCCCCAATCCCTATCCCCACTGCCTGTGTCCTGTCCCATCTTCCCTCTGCCTTTCCACTCCCCCGCAGTCCCTTTCCTCCCGCTCCTCTCCCCACTTCTTTCCCTCCTGCTCTGTGTCCCCTAGAGATCCCTATCCCACCCCACTGCCCTACCTGCACTCTTTGCCCCACTCAGCATCCCCTGCTGCCTCCCAGTGCCCCGCTCACCCCCTGCACCCCCGCTCCTGCTCCCCTCCTGGCTCTGGTGGGTCCATGTGTCCCTTGTGGAGGTCCCTTGGGGTCGGCAGGGAGTGGGGAGCACAGCTCTGCACCCGGCACCCAACCCAGTGGGGTCTGCCAGGGGTCCCTCTGCTGCTGCGAGAGCACCCCTGACAGCCGGGGTGACGGGGGCTCTGTCCTGCAGGGGTGGGCAGTGCCAGACAGGCCTCGTGTCTGACAAGGGGCAGGGAGATGGATCGGGGAGTCACCGTGGAGAACCCCTATGCCAGCGTCAACATCCCACGGGAGCAGTTCCAGCAGAGCTTCATCACTCGCTACCTGAGAGACGAGCCCACCATCATCGCCAACCCCGCGGCCGTGCCCTCCTACGGCACCGAGGGGCACACAGAGCTTGCCAACGGCTGGAACAGCCCAACCATCTCCACAGACAAGTCTTGGTCCCGTCCCTACAACCCCTATGCCAGCCTGAGGGCGCCCAATGGGGACTCATCTGCCTCCTTCTACACTGTGACCCTGAACAAGCCACCCAAGGGCCAGGAGCAGGAGGCTGGCAGGAGATGTGGCTGCTGCAGGTGCTGCTCCTGCTGCCCAAAGTGCTGCTGTGTCATCTCCTAAGGGCTCTCCCTGCACACACAGGATGTGTGACCATGAGATGGGGCCAGGTGACCCCACAGGGACATGACTGCTGGCCTGGGCACCCCTGGCAGAGCTGGCACTGGCAGGACTGACATTGCTTTTTACCTGTGAACTCTGCAGCCAGATGTGCTGATGATGTGCACCTTTCAGATGGGCCATGGGGCCCAGGAGCCCTGAGGATGATGTGTGCCAGGACAGCTGTCACAGGAAGTGACAACACTGGAGACGGGGCAGCACTGAGCCTGGGATCCCACACAGAGCCCCTGTCTGCGCCCCAGTGCTGGGAACCTCCGCCCTGGGAAGGGGTGGGCAGTGCCCACCTGCTCATGGCTGGGTTTGGATGGTGGCAGCCCTGTGTGCGTGGCAGAGGAAGACATCATCGTCACTGTCTTGGAGCAGGGGAGAGGAGCCAGGGACAAGCCTCCAGCTGGCACAGGGACCCACTTGCCCAGAAGTGAGTCCTCCCCCCTCCCACAGCATCACAGGAGTGCTGCCGGCCCCTGCACGAGACTCCATCTGGATGCTGACCCTCCTCACCACACTGCTCATGGGGCAGAGCGATGGAAACAGGAAAGACAGACAGCCAAAGCATGGCAGAGTGCTGGGCCAGGCTCCAGGGCAGCACCTGCTGGCACAGCATGGATATGAGCATTAATGCACCAGTGCCAGGAAACCCCCAGCCCCATTCTGTTCCTCCTGCCAGGCTTGTGGCGTGCTGGGCACAACCTCTTGTCCCATCTGCATCCCAGAGACAGGTCCAGCACAGAGGGCTGGCCCAGCTCCAGCAGTCGGGCAGCACTTGGGCACATTGCTGGGGATGCAGAGGCCCAGCATTGGCCTTTTGCAGCTCCCAGGGCTTGCAGGAAGGTGGGAGGAGCCGCCTGGCTCTTCCCCGTGTGCTGTGGCTTCTCCAGGCTGGGCTTTTGGCTGGGGCTGCTGCCATCGACCTGGAACAAGCCTGCTGTTGTGCTGATGTCCCGCCGTGGTGCTGACGTGCCTTCCTGGTGCTGACAGCCCTCCCTGGTGCTGGCAGCCCTCCCTGGTGCTGGTGTCCCAGGACAGCTGCTCTGCTCCCTGGCTGCTGCAGGACTGTCTGCTCTGCAAGACCGGGGCTTGAGAGAAGTGCCTGTGTTTGCAGATGACTTCAGGGTGCTGCAAATAAAATTACTGCCCTCTCCTGCCCTGCCAAGGTGTGCCTCTTCCCTCCACCCAGGTTTTTCTGGGATTCCCGTGTCACTTCTTGCTTTCCCTGATGGGTGTGTAAGGGCAGTGCTAAAGCCTCCAAACCAGGCTTAACTGTTGCCCTGCTGACTTGTGGCAGCAGCAGCTCATGCTGAGCTCTTTGGCTGTTGCATGGTGCCCCACTACCAACCCAGGTCCAGCAGTGCCAGCCTGGGTCCAGCAGTGCCCAGGCGTTCCCAGTACAGGCTGCTCCTGCCTGTCTGGGATGCTGGCTGGTGCTCAGCCCAGCCCTGCCAAGCTGGATGACTGTCCTGTCTGGAAAGACTTTGTAAGTCTTTGGGAGAGGCTGAGGAAGGGCCTGGAATAGGGGAGTTCCTGGCTGGGCAGCTGGGTGGGCTCTGGGACACTGCCCGGGCTGGCTGGGACCCCCTGGGTGTCCCTCAGCAGTGGGAGCCCACCGTGGTTGCAATCCCCCACTGCTTGGAGCCCAGCTGCACTGCGGCCCCACGAGCACCGGGTGCCAGCAGTGCTCGGGTGCCACCACACAGATGCCACGGGAAGCCCACCCCTGCTGGGAGCCCACCCCAGGAGCCTGCCACGGCCTGGGAGCCCATCCCCCTTGCAATCCCCCCCCCCACCCGGGATATTCTGGGCTGGGGTGGCGCTGGCCTGGCAGAGCTTTGCCCCCCCCGCCTGGCGCAGGTCCCAGGGCGGTGGGAGCCGGGGCTGTGCGGCTGCCAGGGACACAGCCGCTCCGTGCCCGCCCTGCACAAGGAGCTCCCTTGTTCTCCTGCCCAGACCGCAGTGGGGACGGGCAGATCCACCCCTTGTTTGCTTTCGTGTCGCCAGCCCTGCCCCGTGCGTGTGGCGGGCAGGGACGCGTCACAGCCGGAGCGGGGGCTGCCCGGGCTCTGCGGGACACGCACGGGGACAAAAAAGTGTCCCCAAGGTGTGCGGTGCCTCGGCACAGCCCAGGGCCACAGCGGAACGAGCGGGCCGGGGGCTCGGGGGCAGGGCAGGGTGCCACATGTGCCGTGTGTCACCGCTGCCCTTCGCTCTGCCCAGCCCCGGGGCCATGGCAAAGGCGGCGGGAGCGGCCGGCAGCGCCTGCCAGACAGGCGGGCAATGATTAAACCGGAGCAGGGGAGGGGGGCGAGCAGGGGAGGGTGCAGGCTGCGGCCCCAGACCCGGCTGGGCTCTGATGAGCCGGGATCTGCCCCGCGGGCGCTCCCCGGCTGTGTCCGCCTTCCCTGCGCCCGGGGTGCCCAGGGCTCTGCTGGGTGACTGCCACCTCCTGCCTCTGGGCGCGGGTGGCGTGCAGGGCTCTGGCTCATCCCCATCAGACCTTTGCTCTCCCTGAGGCTGCCGCTCCCTGTCGCGGTGCCGAAGGTCCCTGCAGCCCGCGGATGATCCTGGGAACAGGGAAACACGTTTCCCATCCATGTGTGTCGCTGCTGATTGCAGATCTGCCTTCCCTGAGGGGAGACCTTATTGCTCCACACAGCTCCCTGGAAGGAGCTGTCGCGAGGTGAAGGTTGGTCTCTTTTCCCAAGCAGAAAGTGACAGGACAAGAGGAAACGGCCTCAGGTTTTGCCAGGGGATAGGTTGGATATTAGGAAAAAAAGTTCACTGAAAGAGCTGTAAAGCCCTGGCACAGGCTGCCCAGGGCCGTGGTGGAGTCACCATCCCTGGAAGCGTTCAAAAAACATGTGGATGTGGCACTTGGGGACATAGGTTAGTGATGAACTTGGTGCTGCTGGGTTGACATTTGACCTGATGACTTAAAAGATATATTCCAACCTTAATGGTTCTGTGATTCCCTGTTCCTGGATTCAGGTGGGCTTTTGGCAGGGTTGGTGCTGCCCTTGGGGTCAGCATGGCAGGTGCACAGCCCCTGTCACCAAGGCCTCCCCTGCCCCAAACCCTGCCTGTGCTAAGCCAGGGTGCCCAGCAATGGGCAGAAGTGGCCAAGGGCAGCTGGGCACAGCCCCTCAATGGGACACAGCTCTGCTGGCATCAGGGAGGGACATGAGGGCTGAAGAGCAGGGCTGGGAGGGGCTGGAGTGGGGCGGGAGGGCAGGCAGGATGCGTGTGTGTGTGTGTGTGTGTGTGTGTGTGTGTGTGCATGTGTGTGTGGAGCAGCAGAGGCAGCCCGAGGGGTCACTGCCTCTGAGCAGTGCCAGGGGCACCCCCGGCTGTGCACAGAGCTAAGCCCACCCCTCTCACCCATAGAAGTTTTTTGGCAGAGCTCGCTATGGGACTGCAGCATTCCTGTCCCTGTGGCAGGTGAGCCAGGCCAGCGCAGTGTGTTGGGTGGAAGAAGGACAGCTTGGGACAGCCCCAGCCCTGGCATGGCCCTGGAGGGAGCACGCTGAGCCCACCAGGAGCCAGCTCTGCCCCGGCTGCCTGCAAAACCCTGCCACGGGGTGCCACCCCTGCCTGGGCACCCATGGCACACACAGCCCCCGTGCACTCCCTCGGGAAGCCTGTGGCAGGCTGGGTCAGCGTCCTGGGGCGGGATACGTGCCCCAGAGGTGCTGTGCTGCTGGAGCTGCTTCCTCTCTCGCAGGCACCAGTGTCAGGGGCTGAGCCTTTCTGCAGAGCTCAGTGACCCTGTGGGGATCTTCATTTCCAAAATGCCCAGTTCTTTCTCTGAGGAGCGCTGGGAACACGGCCCGCTGGTGAGGCGGCAGCACGGCAGCGCTGCTCCTGCCGGCAGTGGGAGCTGCTGCCCGCGGGAATGCTGCCCGCTGTGGGCGGCAGCACGGCAGCGCTGCCTGTCTCCCGGCCCGCTCCTGCCGGCAGTGGGAGCTGCTGCCCGCGGGAATGCTGCCCGCTGTCCCGGCCCGCCTGCCCTCCCTCCAGGATGGGCTTTTGTCCTCCAGGATCCTGGGCTCAGGATCTGTCCCCCTACCACTCTCCCCTCTTCAGTCTGCAGCCCCCTCCATGCCAAGGCTGGGACTTGGCTGCCGGACCCCGGGCAGCTGTGGGGACACCGCCCTGGCATTGTCACCTCCCCTGGGTCCTGCACCTTGCAGGTGTCCCTGTGGGGTGCTGGGGTGTCCCCAGCCTGATGCTGAGCATTGGTAACTCAGCCCCCAGAGCCTGCAGCCCCACAGGGAAGGGCAGGGCAGGTCACAATCACCCCCAGGCTCCAGGTGGGAGCACACCCCATGTGTGGGCACTGCCAGCCCCAACAGGGACAGAGCCCCGGTGTCCCTGCAGCAGTCCCAGCCCTGCCACCCCACCGTGCCCCCCGCTCTTGTCACAGCTGTCCCACAGCCCAGACCACCTGGGGTTGCTGCAGTTCGAGGGGGGCTCTGCCGGCCGATGTCTGCCCGGGTGTTCTTGGCTCTGAAGTGTGGCCCAGGACATGGAAGACTCTGTTGCTGCTTCCCAGGTCCGGACAAGATCCAAGTTCTCTGACCAGGATGGAGCCCAGAGCTCCTTGGTCTCCCAGGGATGGCTCCTTCTGTCAGTGAAGCACAGGCTTATGGTTAATGACCCTTGCTGGGTTTAGATTTCAGAGGTCTTTGTTACCCAGGTGCTTGTAACCCAGTCTCCCAGGCTTGGCTTCCCTGCAGCAGATCCAATAGCACCTGTCCCTGAAAGGTGAGCCCCTGCCCACTACCACGGCCACTGGCAGCCACAGGGAGCTGGCTGGCAGCTCAGGCCTCCGATGCTCCCCACAGGACTGCCACAGTGCCCTGGACAGCACAGCCCTTCTGCCACCAACCCTGAGGCCCTGGGAAGCATCTCAGGACAGGTAGGGATGGGGGAATGGGGAGGAGGGGAGAGAGGGGTACCCGTGTGCACCAAAACACTTGAGGTCACCTCAGGAGAAGGAACAGAGTCTTGGTGGCCTCCAGAAGCTTGCAAATATACTGGTGTGTACCAGACCCCACCTGAGATGAGGCTAGATCCCCTCAGACCCCTCCCCACGAGCCTTTGTGCCACTCCCTGTGCCAGCACAGTCGGGGGTTGGGGAAGGTGGGGCTGTGCCACTGCCTGGTCTCCAAGTGATGCTCCCCAGCTCACCCAGCCACCTCACTCCTGCTCACCCCCTGCTCCCCCAGCCCCCGGGTGCACCCTGAGCAGGCTGCTGAGATGTGGCCAACCCGTGTTCTCTGCAGAGCTCCCGCTGTGGCACTGGGACACGCACATCCCCATGGATGTAGCGGCAGTGCCACTGCAGCGGCAGCATCCTGCTCTTCCAGGCAGGGCTGGCCGGGGATGGCAGGCAGCGGGCAGGGCTGCTGGGCGGGGATCCTGCTGCTCCCGCCGCACGGACCCGTCCCCGTCTCCCCCACGTGTCGGGGGCACTCGGAGGTGACATCCCACCGCTGTGCCCCCTCCCCAGCCATGCCCTGACAGCTCCTCTCACCCCCTCCCCAGCATGTCCCAGGCCGGTGGCAGCCCCCGGGCAGAGGATCTGGGACCGTGTGTCGGGGCGCACTCGCGCACCCCGAGCCGGGGCAGCCAGCGCGTCGAGTGCATCATCTGCTACTCCTCCTACGACCTGGGCGTGCGGCTGCCGCGGCGCCTCTACTGCGGCCACACCTTCTGCCAGGCGTGCCTGAAGCGCCTGGACGCGGTCAGCAACGAGCAGCGCTGGATCCCGTGCCCGCAGTGCCGCCAGAACACGCCCACGCCGCGCGGAGGGGTCACCATGCTCGACCTCGACCTGGCCACCTTCCTGGCCGTCAAGGCTGACAAGGAGCAGCCGCGGGGGGCCGGCAGGTGCCCGGCCGCGCTGCCCGCCAAGGGCCCGGGCAAGGAGCCGGCGGTGACCCAGCAGCCGGCGGGGCTGTGCCCGGAGCCGCTGCCCCCGGCGCTGCTGCCCCGGCGCGGCTGCTGCCGCCTGTGCCTGTGCTGCGGCGTGAGCGCGGCCTTCGAGAGCTGAGCGCCAGGGGCCGGCCTGGCGCTGCTGCTGGGGACCTTTGCCGTGCCTCAGACCCACTGTGCGCTGCAGTGGTGGGGTTGTGCTGGCGGCCGAGGAAGGGCTTCAGCCTGGGCAGGGCTTTCCTGTCCATCCTGTCCAGATTTGGGATGCAGGAGCGGGGGATCAGGACGCTACCACCCCCTCATGCTTCCTGTCTGCCCTGCTGACGATTCAGAAAGCCAGTCCAGCCATCACAGTGGTTCCCTGGCCCCTGAGCACAGCCTGGCTCATGGTCCATTCCCCCGTGCATGTGGCTCTGCAGCAAGGACAGTGGCACCGAGCCATCCCCAGGGGCCTGGCACAGCGATGCCATGGGGTGTGTCCAGCACCCTGGGAGCTCCGGGTCTATTAAAGACACTTTGGTCCCGCTGGGCTGCACATCCTGGTCGTGTTCACTGGCAATCCTGGCCCCGGGCAAGCCCTGCCTGTGGCGGGGTGGAGGGAGGCAGAAGTGACCTGCCCTGCTGGATTGCTGTGCTGGGAGTGTTTGCTCTGCTGGCCATCTGCATGAAAAATTTTGGCATTGGAATAGTAGGACGGTTGAAACTGAGGATGACAGAGTTGTTAGGAAAACTCCAGTGTTGCTGCAGCTACATTGCTCCGGTATGGGAGGAGAGCTGGGCTCAAGAAGCTCCTGCTTGGCCTCGTGCTCTGTGGCTCATGCCAGGTTTGGCTTTTCCTGCCTGACCCTTTCCTCACACGCAGGCACACACAAACCCTGCTGCTGTTTTTCCAGTTGTGCCCTGCTGCCTGCATGCCTTTCCCTGCTTTCCCTGCCTGACTCCACACCAGGGTGCAAGGACAAGAGCCCAGGCAGCTGGTCTGGGTTAACAGGGGCCAAACTGGAAGCACTGGGCTGCATAGGGTGATACTGAAACAGTTCTTGGCCAGGGCTTGGTGTTGCCTGAGCAGCTCTTGCAGTTCTTCCTCAGGGCCCATTTTCTGCATTTGTTTTCCATGTCGTTTATGAGCCCTTGCAATACCAGAAACCCCCTCAGGGTTCAGCAGGGGACCCCAGCCTGTGCCTCCCTGGGGCTGGCAGGGACCTTGTGTCTCCTGGGCAGTCCTGGTGCTTGGATATTCCCTGTGCTGGGGCCAGGGCTGCAGCCAGAGGATTCCATCAGCCATGGACAGCAGCCACCCCTGCACAGAGCTCATGCACAATTCTGCCGCTTGGTGTCACCTGCCATAAAACAGTCCCAGCTGAGATCTGGGGTGCCCCAGGGCAGACAGAGGTATGGCATGGTTCAGAAATTCCATGTGAGTCCTGCCTTGGACCTTTAATTACCTGGGAATGTGCGAAAAATTAAAGCCTTCAAGGAATGGATAAGAGCTATCACTGAGTGCTAATGCATCTTCCCTTCTATCTCCCATTTCTCCCCACAAACTCAACAGTGGGTGCTGGGAAGAGTGTAGGAAGGGCCCATCCCTCCCTGCAGAGGTGCCAGCAGCTCTGTGCCCAGCCCAGCACCTTTGAGTCCTGCAGTGCTGGGTGACCAAACCCATGTCTCTCTGTCCCACACCCCATGTGCCCTGCTTCCTTGCCTCCCCCCAGCACCAGAACCACTCTGGGAGCTTGGCTCTTGCTCTTGGATATCCCCCTGCTCCCAGCCAGTCCCTGAAGGAGGGGATCATCCCTTCCATCGCTCTGGGAACACTTTTGGCACGCTGGCTGCAAGCCTTGCTTTGGCACCTCGGGCAGAGCAGGGCCAGTGCTGAGCGCTGTGCCCTGGGGGCTCCTCCCCTGGCACAGGCCCCCGAGCTGTCCTGGCAGAGCAGCTGCTCGGAGCAGCCTGTCCTGCCCCGTTCCACATGCAGCCCAGAACCTCAGGAGGGGCATCGTGGAGGGGAGCAGGGCACTGGTGGGCGCTGCCCTGGCTGGGGACAGGGACCTGGGGCTCCTCCTGCGTGGGTTGTGGGTCCCCATGCCCAGGGAAGGGGCAGTGCCAGGGACCCCAGCACTGGCAGCAGGAGGAAAAGGGCAGTGGTGGCACTGCTGGGGTACAGGACCCCCTGTGTTCCCCTGCCATGGCAGTGGGGTACAGCTGGTGGATGGAGAACAGGAGTGGGGCCAGGCAGGAGCATGGGATGATGTCTGGCCATGTCCCTGGCAGGGACAGCTCTCCTGCCACATGCCATCAGCGTGACAGCAAGGGGCTTCCAGAGGAGCTGAGTTTTTGGGCTTTTCAGCCTCCTGGGCTCCAAGCTGAAAATGACCTTGCTTTTAATAGTGGTTTGAGTTATTTTTGGCATGAATGTTGCACTTCTCACCTGATCCCAGATGGATGGAGTGGGTAATGAAGGTCCTGGAAGAGCATTTTGGAACAGGACTCCCTCAAAATCCAGGTCTCCATATAGCCTGTGGCTGTGGATGGGGTGAGCTGTGGCTGCAGCTTCACATGGCAGTGGGTTTGTGCCCTTGCCCTGGGGCTGGGCTGGGCTGGAGGATTCCTCTGAATTATTTCCAGATGGGGATTAATGCAGCAAAGCGAGTTTGCTGCAGGATAGATAAACAAACCAAAGCTCCTCGGGATGCTATTAATAAACCCTCTGCCTGCTGCTTCTGTCCCAGATCTGGGAACATCCTGGCCTTGGCCTGGGGTGCAACTGTGCCCTGCCTTGCTGCCCATCCAGCCCCTTGACCGTGGGGCAGAGGGACAGGGATTCCTCTGGGACCATGGCCACTGGGGTCCTGATGGGTGTGAGTGGGGACAGTGTCCCTACTCTGGGCCCCCTCTGGCTGTAAGTGGGATGAAGTGCTGCCAGCCATGTCCCTTGGGGACCCAGTCCCCACTGAACTCTGCCAGGGGCAGTGGCACTGGGAGGTGACACCGGCCCAGCCTTCAGCAGCCAGGCTTTGGGTGGCTTTGGAGTGGAGTGGGTGTAAACAGGGTGGAGGCAGACTTTGAGCCCTATGGAACTGGCACTGCCATGCCAGGGGAAGGGCAAACCAGTTTTGGGTGGCTGCAGCCCAGCAAGGTCACCTTTGCCATGCTTCTCATCGGGGGCTCCTGCGTCACCCTCCGTGTGCACATGGACATGTTCCCCTTCTGGGAAGGAGGAAGGTGGCCCATGGGATGCAATCCCAGCCCTCCTCATTCTGGCATGGCTGGTGGTCTCCTGCAGGGCAGACAGGGCTTGGGCAAGGGCTGGGCTCAGCGGGTGGGCCATGGTTCCCAGCACAGCTGCCCACTGAGGGCCCCTGGGCACGGTAGGACAGCACATAAGATGGGCTAAGACCTGAAAATGATATGATTTTCTCCCACTTATGTTTTTTTCCTGGTAACTCAGTCAGTTATGGGCGTCCTGGGCCCATACACCCCTCTGTACCTGGCTGTTAAGGCAGCATGCCCGTGGGGGATGCCCCTGGGGAGGACGGAGGCTTAGAGATGGATCTGGATTTGCTGATTTCCAGCTCTCCAGCCAGCAGCACACACAAGCAGTTAATCCCAGGCCACGCAGAGCTGGCTGCTTACCTGGCTGGAGCGGTGCCTGGTGGAGGGAGGGACATGGGCACGGTTCCACACCTTGCAGGGCAAGCATCATTGCAAAAATATTTGCTGAAAAAAGTGCAGCTCCACCCCGAGGAAAACCGGGTCCGGGAGCAGAGCCCCGTCCAGGTTTGCAGCCGGGTGAGCAGGGGAATGAATGCGAGCGGCTGCAGGGAGCCGAGCACTGCCCGGCACCTCCAGCCAGCACCGCCGGGCTCAGCCGAGGGCACCGGGCAGGGCCGAGGGGCTGGGCAAGGCGTGAGGCTCTAGGGAACCTGTGCCTCTGTGCCTCGGGGGGCAGCCATGGGCTGCTGGAGGGTCCCCGGCCCCGTGCTGGCCCTGCTGCTGCTCCTGCGCCCGCCGCCCTCGCCAGCCTGCCCGGCCGCCTGCCGCTGCTCCCCGGGAGAGGTGGACTGCAGCGAGCGGGGCCTCCGCGAGGTGCCCTGGAGCCTCTCGACCAACACCAGCACCCTGTGGCTCGGCTACAACTTCATCACCGTGCTGGGACCTCGCTGCTTCCCTCCGCTGCCGGGGCTGCGGCTGCTCAGCCTGGCCCACAACCGCCTGGAGCTGATCCACAGCCAGGCGCTGCTGGGGCTCGGGGCGCTGCAGGAGCTGGACCTCAGCCACAACCATCTCAGCGTGCTCACCCCCGAGACCTTCCTGCCCCTCACCAGCCTGGCCACGCTCAACCTGGGCAGCAACAGGCTGGGGGAGCTGGCACCCGGGGTGCCGGGCGCTTTGCCCCGGCTCCAGGCGCTTCTGCTGCAGGACAACCCCTGGGTGTGCAGCTGCAGCATCCTGCCCCTCTGGCGCTGGCTCAGCCACAACAGGGAAAAAGTGCGAGGTGAGTGCCCAGAGGGCTGTGTCCCCAAGCCCCTCGCCCACTCCACGCTGGTTGGTCACCCAGCCAGGGCTGAGGCAGAGCCAGCACCCTGGCTGCCAGCTGGCTGAGGGCTTGGGTGGTCAGCGCCCTTGGGGTGAGGTTCCCCAGAAGCTGTCCTTAGGTCATGCCAGCTCCTGTGTATGCTTGGGTGGATACGCCCCCGGGTCTCGGTGCCCACATTTTGGTTCTGGTCAGCAGCAGGGATTGCCTGGAAAGGAGGGCTGTGCAGCACCCCACTGACAGGCGCCCAGTGCTGGCCGCAGCAGTGCCACCAGTCCTGCCACATGGCACCTGGGGGGGCACGTGGAGCCTGTGTGTCAGGGTGCATGTCACCGCTGGCCCATCCAGGATGAAGTGCTTTCAGCCCCTTCCCCAAAGCCTTCATCCACCTGCTTCTGATCCTGCATTTGTTCCCCCATGAGCCCCAGTGAAAGACAGCTCTGCCAGCAAAGTCTTTCCTACCACTGCTGCCCCCTTCTGCTTGCTTCCAGCTCGGATGTGTGACTCCTCTTGTTCTGGCTGGGACCTTCTGTGGCATCTCCAGGCTGAGTGCTCACTGCTCCCCATATCTGTCTTCTGGGAGCCAGTCCCTCCCCTTTGCCTGCCCCACCTGCCCTCCTCCCCCAAACCCATCTTCTTATGCCCCTCCAGCACTGTGCCCACCTCCCATCCCATCCCATCCCATCCCATCCCATCCCAACCCATCACATCCCACACAGGTGACTCCTGAACCTCACTGTTCCCCTTCTTCGTGCCCTGACATGGGTGATGTTGGTGATGCTGGCCCCTGTCCTCCTGCCCTGGTGCCATCTGTCCCATGCCATCCCCCTGTCCTTGTCCCCTGCCTTTCCCAGCTGCCCAGTGTGCCCTCCAGCTCTGCTTCTCTCTTCCAGAGAAGAGTTTGCTCCTCTGCAGAGTCCCAGAGCATCTGAACAAGTATCCAATCATGGCCTTTGGGGACGAGTCCTTCAGGCAGTGCCAGGAGACCTCACTCTCCCCCCAGCACTACATCGCATTCTTCATCATCGGACCCTTCTCGTTCATCGCCAGCATCTTCTTCTGCACCTTCCTGGGCTCCCTGGTGGTGTTCTACCACAGCCTGCGCCGGGAGTCCCACTGCTGGAGGAGACCCCACGTCTGCAGGGTGCACTGAGGGGCTCAGCCAGGCTCTGCCCTGGCCAGGCTGGGCTCCATCCTTGCCCCTCTCCAGCTGCCTGCACCCACCTGTTGCAAACTTGTCCCTGTGGAGCAGCGAGAGGAAGTTCTGTTCCTGGAATCGTTCTGGGTTCTCTCAGGGTCCCCCAATGTGGTACCAAGCTGCCTCTGCCAGGGCAGAGAAGCCTCCAACTCAGCTCCCTGCAGGGCACAGGCTGACCAAAAATGCTCTCAGTGTTTTGGGAGGCTCCCCAAGGCCACCCTCAGATCTGTACATCCCCTTCCTGGGGGCATCCAAGTGATCCTTCTCCCCTTGTCCTGCCCCCTGTGGTGCCCAGTCCCTCAGTGTGTGTTTAGGATGCCCCATGTGCCTCACTGTGCCTTTAGGTGCAGCCTGGGAGTCCCTGTGTGCATCCCAGGACACACCACATTCCTCTTGGTGCCTTTCAGGCCCTCCCAGGAGTCACCATTTGCCTTTTGGTGCAGCCCAGGAGCCTCTGTGCACCTTTCAGTTTTCTCCTTGGGCCTTTTGGTGCCCCCTGCACTCTCTGACTGCCTTCAGCGACCTCAGCAGCCTCAGTGCTTTTTTTCTGTGCCCTCAGAACTCCTTGAGTTGGTGTTTCCTGCACCTAAATGCCATGTTTGTCTTCTGTGTCCTGGCAGGCATTGCTTTCCTTTTAGGGTACCTCAGAGCTCTCTGGGCGCCTTTTGGCGCACCAGAAGTTCTCTGGGTGGTTTGGAGCATTCCAGAGCCTCCGTGGGGCTGTCAGACCATCCCAGGCCTGTCAGTGTGCTGCCCAAGGACAGGGCTGGTTGCAAAAAGCTCCTTTTGATAGTTTTTTTCCATTGAGTCAGGAATGCTGGTGCTGAGATGGCTCAGCCAACAACCAAGGTCTAGGGTGAGGCTGAAGTTGAGGGTGAGGGCCAGGAAGAGCCTTGAGCTGCCACTGATGTGGTTTGGCAGAGCAGCTGCCAAAGGATGGCTGAGGCTACAGTGGTTTCTTCCTCAGTAGCTTTTCTCTAGGCTACAGCTCATCCCCAACCAAGGTAGGGGGTTAGCTCAATGTTGGGAGTGGGGACAAACAAGCCCTTTACAGCAGCCCTGGCTGCTGCCTCACCTCCCATCACCCACAAACTGGGGCTGGGGCTGCCCCTGCACCTCCCTGCCCTGTTCCCTCCTTCTTTTTCCTGTGGAAATGCTGCTGGAAATGTTTAGCAGGCGTGCTGGGAGATGGCCTGGAAGGATCTAGATCTGAGCTCCAGGAGAAAGCCACAAGCCGGGGTGACAAAAACACCTTTCAAGGAGAAACAAGAGCCCTTTTTGGCCTGGCCTCTTACCCACTGCAAGATGATCAGAGCCACAATGAGGTGCTGTGACCACCAGCCTTGTTCACTTCGTCTCCTTCCCATGCAAGAGCTGTGACCTGCCAGGGCTGTGGCAGGAGTGAGTGCATCCTTCAGCAGGCTCTTGGCAAGGGTTCAGTGATTCACACATACACAAACCAGCTGTCACCTCAGGGGTGGCTTGCTCCTGTTTTCATTTTTAAGAGAAGCCAGCCCCATGTGCTGCCACATGGCCAGATCCCTACTCCTCCTCTGCTGTGGGGCAGGGGCTTGGCAGGGAGCTGCTGGAAGCAGCATCTGCTCCAGTGCTGCCAGCCCTGTGCCTGGGAGGGCTGCAGAACCTCTGCCAGGATCATCATCTTGTCTGTCCCAGAAGCAATCCCAGCTCTCCCAGACCCTCTCTAGAGAGGGTTCAGTTATTCCCAAGAAGGCCTGGGCTTCCCATTTGGAGGTAGGACCTTGTTTGTCATCGTGCACGGCCACCTGAACCCTGCTCCTTCCCTCAGACCATGCTGAGGCTCAGCCCCCATGGAGGCTGGGCTGCAGATCTCAGCACAAGGGGAGGATGTTGTGCATAGGTGATGTTCCTTCAGTTCAGCCTTGGGGGTCCTTCCAATTTCGAAGATCCCTTGATGGACCGCCCTATGGATGGGCTGATGTGTGGGGACTACCCCAATGCCCTCATCCCTGCAGTCCATCCCCTGTTCCCAAAGGCTGGCTCCACTGGCCAGGCCCCACGCTGGCTCCCAGGAGAGGGAGGCCAGCAGTGGCAGGGGACAGTTTTCCCCAGGATGGAGGTGGGACAGGGCCAGCTGCCATGGTGCTGGTGTTTGTGCAGCTCCATGCTGTCCTCATCCCCTCTCTGCAGGGCCTGTGCACCACCCTGGCTCTCTGTCACCTGAGTATCCCAGGACGGGGATGCCCTTTCCCTCTCAGTCTCCTCTATAGCCCCTGGACTTTCTCCCTTCTGCTTTCTACATCCCTTCCTGTCCCTCCACTGTTTGCAGACCCTGCCACAGGGCTGGGTGAGGCTCTGATTCACCCCAGGGCTCCCTGCCAGATTTGCCAGAAGTCAGAGACAGAAAGAGGCGCACAGCTCTGGAATAAACCACTTCATGATCCAGTCTAGACTTTACTGAGCTCTTGCAAAAACTTGGTATTAATGTAACATTGACGTATAAAGTAGAATGGGTCCGATTTCTCAGCTGGAGCTAGATGAACATGATGGAGCCACAGCAGTCGGTGGGACGACGCTCACAGACCTCAGCTGCCATGTGAAATCCTGCTGCCCGCGGGGGAAGGCAGTCCGTGCCGCCGGGGCCGGGCACCACCTGCAGCGGCTGTTCCGCGCTGGCAGGAGACGCTGCCGTGCGCCGCGGAGCTGCTCAGCCCCGGTGCCGCTGCCCGCGGGGAGGGGGCTCGGGGGAGCCGTGCGGGCCCGGGGGAGGGCGGTGCGGGCAGGGACGGCGTCAGCCCGGCCCGTCCGGTTCCTTCTCCCGAACTGCGGTCTGCTTTCCGCGCCTCCGGGTTCCGGCAGATGGAGCGCCGTGAGCTGGGGCTTCAGGGCTGCCGCGGGAGCTGCTGGCAAGCTTGGGCTGCAGGTGAGGGTGGCAGGGGAGCCGCCAGCGCTGGCCGCGTGCCCCGGCCGTGCGGACAGGCTGGGCGGCCGCTGCGGCAGCGCAGCGAGCCGTGACCAGCCAGCAGCATCTCTCCTTGCATTGCTGGTGCTGAGGCAGTGTGGAGCTGGGGTAGAGGTCAGTGCAACCATCCAGAGCCATTTCCCGTGGAGAATTCCTGGCCAGGAGAGCTGCTGTGTGAGTGCTACATGCTGGCCGTGGCCAGGTCCTGGGGATGTCTTCTGTGCAGGAGAGGTGGGAGCCGGGGTCTTGCCTGGCGGCACGCCGCGGGCTCCGGAGTACCGCGATTAGCTCGGGGGCGAGGGCTGCAGGGCGGGAGCTCTCCTTCTGCTGCCAGACCACGGACAGGAACGGAGTCACAGGAGTCACAGCCACGGGACCGTGGGAGGGAAGGGAAGAGGGTCCATGCCCTGCAAGGAGCAGAGCACACATCTTCCAGCCCCTGCGGCAGACGTGAGGATCACTCGGCACAGCAGGAACATGTGCCAAGCTCGCAGCACCAGGAGCTGGCTGCTCCAGCCGCTCAGGACCGTGGAGCCCTCCAGGTGGTGGGAGATGTGGAGCACACCTCTGAGGGGCTGTGTGTGCTCAGAAGGCTGCAGCCTGTGAGGTTAGGCACGTGTTTGTGGTTTGGCACCAGCTCTTCCCTGCTACCGTGGGAGAGCAGGCACCGTGTGCCTTCTGCAGTCCTTTCCCCTTGCACGGAGCCAGTCAGTGGCAATTCTGATTATTGTGGCACTGTTTGGAAGCAATTATCTCTGTACAGTGAAGTCCAAACCTTGTCCTGGTCCTGCCGTGCTTCCTGGGGCACGAGCATGGCAGCAGGCCTAGGAAGGGAGGGAGATATACAATGGAGTCACTGTGTATGGATGAAGGATGCTTTCCTCCCATCTCACCCGGAAGAACCCATCAGTGTCCCTTGAAAGGCAGTCCTAGCTGTGCCTTCCTACTGTGTTGGGCAAGGACTGATGGCCCTCGGGGAGAAGGTCACACCACAGTGCTGACTGAGGGGTCGGAGAGGTTGAGCTGGCCGGTGATGTCAGTGGGGTGATACTGCTGCAACACACAAATAGACAGACAAAGAGAAAGGAGTGTTAGGCAGTACTGGCACTTGTCCCTGCTGCCACTTCTATCCCATGTGTCCCTACAGGATATCTCTTGGGGGTGAAGCAACACCCTGAAAGCTGCTGCTGCTGGCTGGAGTCCCCTTCCCAGTGCCATCCACGCTTGTGCAGAGGTCGTTGCAGACACTCTCCATGCACCCTGGAGCTGGGCAGAGGGGACAGCCAGGAGCGTGGTGCAGCTTCTGCAGAGCGTGGCTGCCACGTCACCCGCTGAGCCAGGCCCTCTCTGCTCTGGGAGGGCTACAAAACAAAGCCTGTGACTCATCAGCCCAGCCCACGCCTGAACCTGTGTTTGGAGGGTCTGGCTGGGTTTTGGCACCTCTCTGGTGCCAGATCAAGCTGTGCTTTGAGGCCAGGGCATTTCACCTCCTTGCTTGAATGACCCTGCCATGACTATCCTTTCATGCAGGTGAGATGTGTGGTGTGGTTGATTTGCGATAAAGTGTGGCATTGATTGCTAATGTGAAAGTATGGCCTGTGTTGGAGATGTGGTCTGGATTTTGGGTTCTGAGCTCCTTGCAGATGGGGGGGGGGGGGGGGGGGGCTTGGCATGGGAGAGCCCTCCCCTGCTTCAGTCCCATCAGCAAGTAGGGGGAAGAGCAGAAATACCCATCAATGGGCAAGAAAAAACGTCCTTCCTCCCCAGGCAGGAATTTATAGCGGGGCAGTTATTTCCTCCCTTCCTCCTTCCAAACTCCCTCTCCCAGCTCCACTCTCCAAACTCCAAGCACTGACCTGGGAGCTCTGTCCAGCCCTGCTGTGGGCTGGAGCATCCTGTGCTGCTCTCTGGGGTCCTAATATGGTGCCAGGGCAGGAAAGGGTCTCTGTGGGTCTCATGTACTGCAGCACAGACCCTCTCCAGTGACATTTTCCCAGCCCTTGCACCACCCTGCCCAGGAGGGCTGATGTTTTGAGGGGCTCCGGGGGGGCTCCTCGGTGATGATTTCACCTGCCCTGCTTTGGTCGATGGTGGCCGTGGCCTTCGCGGCGCTGCCGGCAGCTCTGGCACTGTGGCTACCCTGTGTGCTGCACACCCTGCCTCCTGCCACCCCCCGAGCCTTGCATGGGGTCCTTGGGGCTGCCCTGCGCAGCCTGGATTTGTGCATCCCGGGACCCCTCAGTGGGAGCAGTGGGGCAGGGCCGGGAGCCAGCGCACTCTGTCTCTCTGGTGCCGTGCTGGGACACGCTGACACCCAGGGAGCTTCTCAGGGCATCACCCTGCCACCTCTCAGGGGATCACCCTGCCACTTAGGGCACTGGCTAAGATTCCAATGGAGCCTCTGGGAATCCCTGGCCGTGGTCTTGCCTTGCTAAGGGGCAACAGCTCGGCCATCGCCCATCGGCACAGAGAGAGCGGCCAGGTCCCTCCTGATGTCACTCTGCTGCCCTGGGGGGAGCTTTTCGTGGCTATTCAGCAGCCCACCAAAAAACACCCCTCTCTCCCAAAATTGGGTGCAGCCACCGCCTCCTCATGAAAAATTTGGATTCCAGGTAAATGCAGTGCTTCCATGGCAGAGCTGCCGGGAGGTGTGTGCTTGTGGGATGGGGCCTGACTCCGGCAGCGAGGAGAGGTGACTGGGAAAGGGGAGAGGCTGTGACTCACTGGTGGAGGAGAAGGAGGAACTGGAGATACAAAAATGAATGGGTAGAAGAAAGGTCCTTTGTTAAACATCCTGCCTGATGTGAGGGGGGTGGAAGAAGCCAGTGTGCCTGTGTGAGTGTGTGTGCCTCAGTGCACGTGTGCATGTGGCTGCTGTGGTGGTGTAGCAGGGCAGGCTGGGGCCTTCTGGCCTCTCTGCACAGCTCTGGGGGTGGGAAATGCTAAAACAACCAAGCGAAATGGGCAATCTGGCCAGAAAAATTAAAATACAAGAGCATGGCTTTTGATTTGAAAGCATATCTCCTCCAATCACAGAGTTATCACAGGGTAACATTCTCATTTACTTTTTTTTGTGTGTAAAGTTCATGCATGCAATTTTTAATAATAAAAATTAAAATAAAAATAAAAAAGGAAAAGAAAATAAAAAGCAAGAAAACGGTCATATCAAAACTGTGTTAAAGTAGGACTAATGCTAGAAGCACATATCAGTAATTTAAGGTAAGTTATGTTACAGGGATGATGCAATAATCCCCAAACCAAACATTATAAAGCCAAGAAATTAATCAATATTAACCGTAGAAGAGACTCAAACATGTTAAGGTATGGAAGTGAAGTGAAGGCACCAAAAACTTTAAATGACAACCAGGAAGAAAATATAGACAAGAACTTAATGTCTTTAAAAATGACTTCAACCTAACTGGGCTCATATGGTAGTCCCTGGCTGGTGGAAGATTTTCTGGAAGAATTTTAGTTTGTTGTTGTGGGTTTTTTTCCGTTAAAAATTAGGATTCCAGCTAAATGCGATCTTGCTGTAGAAAATATCAAGTTCCCTTTAGGGAAAAAAAAAAAAAAAAAAGTTGTCTTTGACCTACTTTTGGTTCTTTTGGGCCAAAAACTAGGCTCTTTCTCAGCCAAGAAGCGTTTGGCTTTGGGACAGCTGATCCTTCACTGAAAAGGTGACCTTTTGCAGGAAGCCCCTCGGTTGTTGCCCAGCTCTGGCACCGTCCCCAGGGCCGCAGGGCTGAGCGTGGGGCGGTGCCGTGGGCCGTGTGTCACTGGGGCTGGGGCTGGCAGTGTGGCTCTGCGGGGCTGGCGATGCGGGGGGCTAAGGGACCTGTGCACCTCGATCGTGTCTGTACGCAATGTGCCGGCTCGGAGGTGTCTGTGTGGTTTATGCGTCTCACATGGCGTCTGTGGGGTTGCAGTATCGTGGGTGGCTGCGATGGATGGACACGTCAGCTCTGCCAGTGCTACTCGAGTTGCAGGAGCTGCCTATGGGGAACACATGCATCTCCTCCTGGGGCGGTGGGGATGATGTGCCGCGGAGAGGCTGTGCAGCTCGGGTGATGGTGGGCGCTAGGACGTTCAGAGTGGGGTGGAAGCTTCCCAGGGCTGTCTTGGCTCCATGGTGCCAGCCTGTCTCTCTGGCACTCCTGAGGGACCATTCTGCAGGGCTGCAGAGCAGAATCCATTTTTAACACTCCCGACAACGGAAAGGAAAGAAGCAAGGCTGCCAGGTCTGCGTCTTTTGCTCGCTAGCCAGGAGAGCACGTGGGGCTGGGGTCAGCCTGGCCTTCCAGCCCCAAGGGCTCTCCAGCCTTGCCCACCTAAGACCTGGTGTGGGCCCGCAGCTCTGCTGAGCATCATGAAAGAGAGCACCTCGCTGCCTTCTCGTCTTTACAAGGACCCCAGGCAACGTGCCCCAGCATGCTACGGACTCATGGGGCCTTCCAGAAGGAGGGCGTTGGGGTCTCTGAGCCAGGGCTGCTGCATGGAGGTGGAGGTCACCAAGCACAGGCTGTGACATGAGCTGGTGGCAGCACTCCGTTCTCGCTGGCTGCTCACCCTGCAGAGCAACCAGCAGGTCTGCCCAACATCACCACAAAGCTCGCTCCACCACGGACCTCCTGCCATAGCTGCTAGCCTCCAAGTTGGCCATGTTGGCTTGGATGTTCACCCCACTGGCCTGTTCTTGACCCAGCTAGACCAGTTCCTTGGGGAACGTGTCCTGGGACCCTGGCCATGGCACCCCATGGCAGGCAGAGCATTGTGACAGGCTTCAGAGCAGTGGGGAATAATTGACCGTGCAGCTGCCCCAAAGTGGGGACCATCTTCTGGGATGGGTGGGGTCATCTCCCTCCACAATTTGCCCAGGAGCAAGGTACCAAGAAGAGCATGACTGGGACCCAAACATGGGGAGCCCTGTGTTGTGCTGGACCCCAAGGAAGGGGAGAGAACAGCTCCATCGCCCATCCATGGGACCTGTGGTGCAGGTGGGCACTGGGCTTGCTCAGTCAGGGCACTGGGGGCAGAGAGGGCTGTGGGCTGGTTGGTGGAGGATGGATGCCATGGAGCAGGATCAGGACCAGGATGATTCCCTGAAGAAGGAGCAACGTGAGGGTTACCAGGGGGGTGCCACACTCCAGCTGTCCCATTTTTTCTGGGTTCTCCCCCTCTCCTCTGCTCACCGGTGGCACTGGTTCCCCCAGATGCCCAGGGCACCATCATGATGCTGCTCTCCCAGGGCAGGACTCCTTGGTTTCCTAATCGTGGAGTAGTTTAAACACAACAGAACATGGGAGTCTACTCAGCACATGCAGATCCTTCTGCCAATTTTTCTCCCCTCTACTTTATCTGCATTCTACTTGTCCCTCCTCCTCCTCCTCCTCACTCTTGCACCACCCCCTGCACCACCCACCCCATCTCTGTCTCCTCTGCCCCGCTCATGGCTCAGGCCACAAAGACACACCCTGTGACCTCCCTGCAGAGCTGCTCGGGGGTGCAGCAGTGGAAGAGGGGACCCGACATGGGGACATTACTGGGACAAGGTGCCACCCAGGGAGCACAGAAGCAGCACAGGAGATGACAGGGATGCCCATCTTCCCTGGGGGTACAGATGATGAGTGGGAAGAGTGTGGGTGTTCCCCCCATGACTTCCAGGCTTCGAGGTGACAGTGAGAGGAGCACTTTGTGTGAGATGGTGGCAGTCGAGCCCGGCCGAGGGCTCAGCTGTCCCCAGGGCCACGTTCCAGGGGTGCTCCAGGAGCTTCTTGGTACGGAGCCTGCGCTGGTGTCAAAAGCAGCCTCCTCCATCTCTCATACAGAGCCGTGGCCCCGAGACCCCCTGCGATACCACATGCTGTCCCCGAGGCGCCCAAGCCTGCGGCTGGGGACGGGCCACCCCGCCACGGGGGCCACATCTCCGCGCGCTGCCACCGTCCCCCCGTCCCCGCTGCGCCTCGGGCAGCCTGGCGGGGACCTGCTCTGAGCAACCCCGGGCACAAACTCGCCGGTCGCCCCGGGGAGGGGATTTTGGCAAGCCCGTTGTGCCAGGAGGTCGGGCAGCAAAACGCAGCGGGCGCTGCCACACGAGACAACAGAGTAGCCACAGTGCAGAGTGTCATACAACAGACGGCGACATGCAGAGGGACACGGCTCAGTCCGACAGACCAACAGCCCAACCTGACGCTGAAGTGTCTGAAGCTCCAGCACGAGCAGACACATTTGCACATTTGGAAACAGCTGGCTTTAGAGGCAGCAATTTGGAAATTTTCTCTGGTTATATGAGAGCAGCGGAAAACACGAGCTTGAACCAAGGCTGGGTCTTTAACAACCTCCTCTTTGGAGCCTTTTCATCTCTTTTCTAGAGCTGCATTACTGCTGATGATAACCAGAGACAGCTGTCACTCCTGTGCGAGGACTATTCCGAATGCTAATTGTCACAAACAAAAATCACATGTAGAGAGTGTGACACGCATGGCTCTTGGTGAGGTGACACGGTGCCCAAATTAAATCGGGGTGATTGTTTTTAGGCATACAATGACAAACAGGTACAGGAACACTTAGGAACAGAAAAAAAAAAAGAAAAAAAGAAAAAATGTCATCAGTTTCAAGAGGTCAGCACCGGTAAGGTGAGCGAAGCACAGAGAGGAACATCAGAAATCATCCAGGCAAAAAGAAAACAAAAAAACAAAACAAAAACTCGGTTGCATCTCCCAACTCATCACAGGACTCCAAGCCACCTCCTGCCTGCCCTCCAGGATCCCAGCATCCTTTCAGGTACACGGGATGACTGACTCACTGACTGACTGACTGACTGGTGACGAACATGAGCTATGCATGTACACTGGCAGCTTCGGGATGGGTGTGTGGCAGTCGATGGGATGGCAGAAGAGAGAAAGAGAGAGAAAGAGAGAGGGCAGAATTGTTCTTCTTCCTCTTACCGTATCCTTGGAGGACCTACGTCTCTTGAAGCTGGAGGCCAGGGTGGAGGTGATGGACCTAAAAGTGGCTTTCTTTTTAGGGTCAGGTTCTGCTCTACCACTTTTTCTATCCTAAAATGAATATGTATAAGTAATTAGATCTCTAGTGTGTTGTTGGAAACTCTAAATCTATTTGAATACTGCCCCGTGTCATGGCCTTCATTCAGGTGAGAAAGCTACTGGAGGTGTTCTGCCACTCCCAGTCCTCCAAGGGCCTCCATGACCCAGGGCTATGGCACAGCCACCACACTGCTACAGCTACAGGGGGCCAGCCTCGCATCTGGAGCGCTGGGAGCCCCTCTGGGAGGTAGCCCCGCTCTCCTGGTGTCTGCAGCCAGGCCGGCACAGCTGACCTCGCTTCCTGGGGATGCTCTGCCTGGCGCCCTGCCCCTCGCTTCCACCGCTAGCCTGGCTGGACCGAGACGTGAGATGCTGCACCTACCACTAAAAAAAAAAATGCTCAGGGCCTTTTCTGAGGCTGAATCCTAGTGCCACAAGAGAGAGAGAGGACTGCATTGAAAGAGAAGTCATTGTATGAATATTCTGTAAAAAAAAATGTGTTCAAAAATTCAAATGATGCAGTTGTGCAAAGCCGAACGTGGTTGTTGGTGGTGGTTTGGTTTGTTTTCCAAAGTAAAACAGGCTAAAAAACAAAAAGGAAACTGGAAGAAAAAGAAAAGTAAAAAAAAAAAATACAAAGGAAAAGAAAGGGAGGAAGCAAAGCGTTAGTGCCATGATGTCGTCGGGTCGGGATGAACTCAAAGAGAAACAGAACTGAAAAATGTAGGCGTTGGAGTTAGCGAGTCGGACCTGGTTGGCGCAGGCTGGGAGCACCAGCCGCCATGGTGCGGGGGCCGCGGGCCGGGGGGCCCGGCCGCGCTCGGCGCCGGGCGCTGGCAACGAGTCCTCCCCAATTGCTTTCGTGCCAATGAGTGTGACCTTTCCGACGGGGGACGGAGTGACCAGGTCTGGCTCTGCTACCGCACGGGGGTAACCAAAATGTATCCCGCTGGTGCGTAGAGCATGCTCGGGGATACATTTGCTCCTCCTTCTCAGTTCTCTCTTTTGCGGACATGCACAAACGGAAAGGAAAGCAAGATGAATGGAATGAAATGTCTTTTTCTTCCATGGCATCTCAGGAAATAGCCATGGCAAAACTGTGATCCCAAAAACCATTATTTTTGTTTGTTTGTTTTAACAAATAAATCTTTCCACTTGCCTACCTTCTAGCAATGTACCAGATACTAGTGCTCTGACGTTTCCTCCTGTGGAAAAGTCTTACAATGTCAAACGGCTCTTTACCATGAGGCTGTTTACCCCCACAGGGCAGCATGCTTTGCTCACAGTCCCACAGACTCTGCCCAAGGACCCAGTGCAGTATTTTCTAGAAGGTTGGCAAGTGAAAAATGGCAGTGCGACTAGTGTGCTCTGTCCCAGCAGCCTTAACCCCCTCGGTGCTGCTGCTTTTTGGAAGCAAAGGAAAAAAAAAGGAAAAAAAGGAGAAAAAAAATTGAGAAATGGCTTTTCCGAGACTCTTTCCGGTGAACTGAACCCATCGAGCTCTCAGGATGCAGCAGCCCGGCCTCGTTCTCCCCTCGCTGCTCTCGGGCAGCCCCCCCGCAGCCCCAGCCAGCGCTGCTCCCTGGGGCCCCGCCGGGCTCCTCACGGGGTCCCCGAGCCTCCTTCTCTCTCTTTGCCTTGCTGGCTCTGCTCCGAGCAGTGTCCTTTAGCCACCTAAAGGAGCTCTTGCTCTTTGAACGCCGCTGTGCTTCCCCAAGGGAAAAATCAGCCCGGGCAACTCAGACAGAGCCTCCAGCTGCCCTACACTGGGGTCAGGGGCACTGTGGGGCTCAGCCCCAAAAGCAGCAGGGGAAGGGAATTGTGAGGCTGGTGGCCCACGGATGTGCCCATGGCTCAGTGTCACTGCCAGGCACCTCTGACCCTCCCGGACTTCCCTGCCTGAGCGGCACAGAGATGTTCCAGGAGCAGGAGAAACCTGGGAGAGCAACAGCCCCGTAAAAGGAGACCAAGGGAGGCTTGGCACTGACAGGGACCGGCACTGCTGGCTCCTGTGTGGGGAGATGTCCTTGTCTCCAAAGGACAAGAGCACGCACCACCTCTTTTTGGAGTTGGTCCTGGGTGTGGCAAGGGCTATCACACTGCTGCAGAGCAGGCAGGGAAGGGGAGGTGACGGAAACTATCCCTGGAGCATTCCTCCACCTGAGCACTGGGCAGGGATGGCAGCAGGCTGACCTTCCCATCTGCTGGTGAGCGCGGCTGGAGCCGGGCAGCAGGGCAGAACCTGCAAGGAGCCATGTGACACTGCCTGCTCAGCCAGGCAAGGTGTGGCTCTGGCACGTGGTCCCCAGCAGGGCAAAGTCCCAATCCCGAGCCTGGCCCAAACACTGGGGGTGTTTGGGCCAGGCCTCTGCCCTGTTAGAGCTTTTCTGGGAGAAACACCATCAGGCAGGGGCAGCTCCCGGGGAAAAGGCAGGACATTACCCTACAGTTTAACAGGCACCGAGTTAACCCAGCTGGAGCTACGGGGGATGGGGGACAGAGGGCCCCATGCTAATCCACAGCTCTGCATTCACTGATTTGGTGAAGGAATGGAAAACGCACCTGGTGGAGATTTGCTCTAAAAACGGTTTGTCCTACCTGCAGGTTTTTCCTCCACACATTAACGGCCGCAAACGCCAGCTGCATCTGCTTCCTCCGCGCGTCCTTATGCCTTTTGTAAGCTATCTCTATGAATATTAAAAATATCCCGGCAACAATACCTCCAGCCACCAGCATAAACACACCTGAAATAAGCAGGAAAGTTACAGGGGGCAGTGGAATTGCAACACGACCCCTCATTTCTTCTGCATCATGCTCAGCGATGGGAGCATCTGCCAACCCGGGGTCCCCCCACCATCTCCCCGCAGTCCTGGAGGGCCGGGAGGGGAACACAGCCTGGGCACCTGAGGGGTGTCAGTGCCAGCTCTGCAGGGCACGGGGCACTGAGCTGCAGCGATGCTGGGGACAGGCACGGCAAGCCCCAGAGCAGACCCCATCCCCAGGACCATGGTCTATTTGCACTAGAACCCAGCTCATCAGGAAGCACAGCCATGCCAGAGTTCTGTGCTGTCTTTGGATGCCTGCAACCCTTGGGGCTGACATTTCTGGAGCAGTGTCTGAGGGGATGGAGCAAAATACCCCTTTTCTCCATTGCCTGTAACTGGCCAGCAGTGCTGGTGAGGACGGGGTCCCATCCCACACCCCTCATCCCTCATCACTGCATTGTCTGGCTGTAGGACCAGCAGCACCACCTCAGTGCAAAGGGAGAGCCTGTCTCAGGCTTCTCACAGTCTTTGCAAGATGAAACCCCTCTATATCAATTATCCTTGTTCTGGCCCTGCCCAGGGCTCCTCAGGACTGGGGGGCTGCCCCTTGCCTCCAGCCCCCTGCTGCAGCAGGGTTCTCTCTCGCCTCTGCCGAGGTGCTGTTCTCCTCTCTGCACTGATGCCAGCTCTGATGGCACTGTGACAGCCACAGTTTGGCCAGGGCAGAGGGAGGGCAGCCTTGCTCACACTACAGCCCCACTGGCAAGAAGGCACCCAGGGAAGGTGGGGGGAGCTTTGTGTAACTGTTCTGAGCAAGGTGGAAATGGAGCCCACCTCAGCAGCCTCCCAGCACTAGGAAAGCACAAACCCAGAAGCAGCAGAGATTTGGCCTGAGAGGAGAGCCCCGGGGAGGATGTCTTGAGCAAAAGCAGGCTACCCAGCGAAGGGGGAGAAAGAGGTTTGCAGAACAAACCTGCCATATTTTCAAAGGTGAGTGTTGCTGGGGCATTGCTACGGGAATCACACTCTTGATACCTCACCCAAGTCTTGTCCAAATCCTCCATGAAGCCGTTCTCGTGGGACCTGGAAGCACAAGGAGACAGGACAGGGTAGTCACTGGGGACCAGCCACAGGCAGCTGGGGCACACACTCTTTGTGCCTTCGTGCCCTCCATCCTCGGGCTCTGTGCTTGCCTGCAGCCTCCTAGCACAGGAAGCAGGGATGTCCTGGCTGTGTGTGTGCACACCTGTGCCCATGTGGCCTTTGCACAGAGTGTGTGTGGGCTGTCTGCAGGGGCTGCCAGCACTGCATGGGCACACTCAGCACAGTGCAGTGCTGTGAGCAGGCAACCACAGCTCCCCACTGCCACTGCCCCTGCAGCAGCTCTGGGGCAGTGCCTGCTGCCAAAAGAGCCATGTGTCAGCCATGGGGAAGGTGTGCTCCCAAGGAAGGATGGAGCTGTCAGTGTTCCAAGAGCTCTTGGAGAAGGCTGCAGGGAGTGGACATGAACCACATCTACCAGTTCCCTCCTGCACGCTTCCTCTGCCTGCCAGGGCCACTTAGAGCCCAGGCAATGATGGAGCCCAGTCCTTTCTGGTGACCCCCAGCACCCTCTAGGTCAGGGCACTGCTGCCTGGCAGCTCCCTGCAGTGCACAGTGAGGGCTGGGACACCCCAGCAGCTCGGTGTCACAGCTGAGTGTCACAGCTCAGTGTCACAGCCTGGGAGGACACAAGCTGTGTCCTCACAGTACCTGCCTGAACAGCTCGTGGGGATGGAGTGGGCACAGAGCACGCATTCCACCAGAGGCTCCCTGCACTTTCCTCCCTCTTGTTCCTGGTACACCCCCACCTTCCTGGGCCATCTGTAGCCCTGGGCTTTCCCAACCTCTCCCAGGAGGGTGGCCGGGGAGGACTCCTGTGGCCCCTTCAGGCTTCTCAAGTGGTGGTCCCAAATCCCACCTGTCCTGCTGCCACCCATCACCATGTTAAGATCATCCCATAGACAGGGTCCATGGCTCCCTGGGTCTTGCCCATCTTCCACATCCTGACCATTCTCCCTTAGGCCTTTCACCTCTGCATCTTGGGCAGGACCCTGGTGGCTCCTGACCCTGTCTCTCCTAAAATGAATCTCCCAGGACTCCCTCCCTTCACTTGCTCCTTCCCTGCTGCCTGTTTCTCCATCATGACATTTCTCTGTCAGCAACAATTGTGGCATTGCCAAAGTAATTCAAGGAAATCCCTTTTCACCCATGATACCAGGCTGACTGTGACACCCCACATTGCAGGTTAGTGCTGGTGTAAAAGCCTTGGACTCAGACATATCCCCGTCTAACAGAAGTAGCCAGAGTTGAAAGAAAAAAGCCCTGCATGACCAATTCAGGGCAGTGCAATGTTGATGGACAGGCTGAGCCCTGAGGGAGGAGCGGGGCGATGGCAGCACTCACACCCTGCTCACACAGACCTGCGCTGGACAGCCCCCCTCCTCTCTGCCCGCTTTGCCTACACCCCTGGCTGGCCATGACTCTGCTCCCTGCCCTGCTCTGCCCTCCCTCCAGCTCCCTGCTGCTTCCCCAGCCCTGTGAGCCAGACCTGAGGCTATTGGTGCCCACCCCAGTCACTCAATGTCCCTTTGTCAGGATGGAAGGGCAGCTCCCAGCGCCCCTGTCCCTCTGTCCCTGCAGAGGTCTGGCGGGTGCCTGGCAGTGCCTGGCACGAGCAGCATTTGAGGCAAGCCCCACGCCAAGAGCCATGTACAGACTTGAGGATGGCCAGGGAGACGTTCTGCTTCCAGGGGCTGTCCTTGCGCATCCCGATCCCGAAGCCGGAGCGGAAGAAGAGCTCCCCCGTGGTCACCAGGTCGCACTTCTGGGAGGCCTCAAACTCCAGCACCGCCGAGTCCCAGATGAAGGCGTGGAGCTTGCTGGACACAGAGGAGGATAGATGGGTCAGGTTGGGCAGCCCAGCTTGTCTGCAGCCTCCATGGGAGCAGCGAGGGTGCTCCCAGTCCTAACTTAAACAGTGAAGCCACCCAGCCCTGCACTGAAAGAAGAAAAGAGGCCAGAAATGGCGGCCATGGCCAGGGCTCTCACTGTGCCACCCCCACGCAGACCTTGTGCTCTCCACCGAGACCTGGGATGCACCAGCACTGGGCAGATCCCACCCAGCCCCAGTTGGGAGGTCCCACCAGCCAGGCCTTGGCTGCAGCTCCCTCCAGCTTTGCCCTGCTTGCTCTACCTGGCTGCAGCTCCCTGAGGCCCTTCCCAGCGTGGCCAGGCAAGGTGCTGGCCCTACTCACTTGTCCCTCACTGCCTGGATGGCTTCGGCAGCGCTCTCGTAGTTGTGCTTCTCCATGTGCCTGTACATGGTGCTCAGCTCCACCTGCCGTCGGAAGTAGATGTCCACAGAGCTCTGCTTCACTGTGGCGTAGATGAATTTATCCGAGGGGTTGCGCAGCTGAAAGGCAAGGGCGGGGCTCCAATGTTTTCTTTCACCAGCAAAACTTTCTCACCCCAAAGCTGTTTCCAATCTCCCATCTCCTTCAGGGACCTGTTCCCTACAGAAGACCTTGATCTCCTCAGAGGATGCCACAGGGCAGTGAATGCTCTGGGACCGTGGTGCTGGGGCAGGGGATGCTATGGGACAGGGACACGGCGGCACTGAGGGTGCAGGAGGCTGTGGATGCCATGGGTCTGGCAGTGCTGTGGGCAGGGCACGCAGCAGGGTGTGGGATGCTGTGGGTCTGTGCTGCTGCAGGGCACATTCCTGCATGCCCGGGCTGATGAGCCGTGGCTGTGCCCTTGCCAGAGCAGGAAATGGATTTGAGGCATGTGGAGAGTATTGACTGCACCGCAGGGAAGATTTCATTAGTTATAACTCATCCATAATGAATTGCTTCCTCGTTGGTCAGAGGAGGCTCTCCAGGAACTGGCAGGCACTTTGACTGCAGACAGGCTATTTCTGGACAGGTTGTTTTCCTGCTGATCCCTGCCCATGTCTGTCCATTTCCACCCAGGGCAAGGGCTCAGACTCATCAGCACCAGCCCAGGCAAAGCTCCCTGGGTCTGGGTCCCATCACAGGTCACAGCCGTGGTGAATCAGGGCTCTGGGAGCCACAAGCCATGTTATATGGCCCAGGGAAGGGGAAAGCAAGTGAGGGGTCGTTACCCGGGGGTCGTTAATGCCTGTGATCCTCTCCTCAGGTCGGTCTAACACCAGGAAGGCTGCCAGGTTGGCAGTGTATGAAGCCACAATGATCATAGCAAAGCCAGCCCACACCATGCCAAGGATACGGGCAGAGAAACTCCGGGGAGCACCTGTAGGGAGAGAGGAGAGATCAGAGCAGCACCATGAGGGCTTGGCTTGGCTGCCAAAGTTGTGTCAATCCACATGAGCCCAATGGCAGCTGCAGATGTGCACCATCTATCTGCTCTGCCAGCAGCTGTGCAAGGAGCCTCTGCACTGCCCAAACCAAAAAAACCTCCAGCTCCTTCCATGCACACAGGGCATGCTGTGTGTCACCCTGAGAGGGCGGGTAACCCTGGGCAGGGCATCCAGCCCAAGTTTCCCTGCCCTGTTCCCATCCTGTGCTGGGGCTGGCAGGAAGCCCTGACAACTGTCACAAACGTGCAACACTCAGCACCACCAAATCTCCTACCAGCCTGCTCCACGAAGGGCTCAGGGAATGAGGATCCACAGGGACCATGTGAGAGGGGAAGGCTGTGGAAGAGGGCAGGGGCTTCCCCCCAGCCTGCCCAGCTCAGAGCCTGGGCTGCAGGGCAGAGCAGTCCTGCCGTGAGCTGTGACTCACCTTCTCCAATGCCAGAGTTCAGCAGGACCCCCCAGGAGAACCACATGGCTGAGGAGAGAGTCAGGGCATCTTCCTCCTCCTCCTCACTGTTTACTTTGAACCGGCCAAATGGGCTGGAAAACAAAATGAAGAACCCTTCTCATTCCTTCACCCTGATTCCCAGGGCTCCCCACTGTGCCTCACGTGTCCTGGTGCAGCCTGTGTCACCCATTCCTGTACTGTGCCTGGTCCCAGGCAGCTCTTCCCTGCTCTGTCCCACTGCCTGGCACATTCCCCGTGCTGACCTGCAGCCCTGCCTGGCTCACACTGGTACTGGTCCCATCACACTCTCTCCAGACCAGAAAGATCATCTGATCCTGGCCAGCTCAAGCCTCTCCCACTGCAGCACAGAGAGCTCCCTGCAGATTAGCCATCAAAGCCTCTGGGCACAGGGCTGAGGCAGGGACAGGTGCCCTCGGAGGAGCTGCCACAGGGCCAAGGAAGGCCAAGAGGAAATTCTCAGAGCCCAGAAGCTGACAGTCCCCTTGGTCAGGTATCTGTCCAGCACCTGGTCTGACAGGTGTTTTCCCACATCTCCGCATGCTGGGTACCCTGTCAGCACCTGGTCTGACAGGTGTTTTCCCACATCTCCGCATGCTGGGTACCCCACATATCCATATCCCTTAGCTTAGGCAGCCAGAGGGGCCAGGAGCCTCAGCCCAGGGCTGGTGGGGCAGAGCAGATGGGTTAAGTCCCTGTGTGAGCCCCCAAAGGGCTGCAAGACTTGCCCAAGCAAGGAACCCAGGGGACAGTTACCAGAAGCACCTCCCTGTCCCCTCCAGATCCCAAGTGGCCCAAAGTACACTCACCTGAATCGGTCTAAGAGGTACAACATCACTGCCACCACATGCACAGACAGCCCCACCAGCAGCCAGAGTGTGCTCTGGAAGGGCTGCATGAACGAGTCCAGGGTGCTGCGGGGGATTTCCTGCACACAGGAGAGAGGGGAACAGCGCTGGCACCCCCCACTGCACCCTGCCTGCCTGGAGGGACCCACCAGGCCCTGCCCTGTCCCAAGCTCCTGCTGCTCAGGAAGGGTCAGGTTGGTGCAGACAAGAGCCTGCATTAAAACCAGCAGCCTGGAGCCTGGAATTTGCAGGGGCTGCACTAAGCAGTCTGGGGAACGGGAACCTCCCATGTTCTACAAAACCTCCCACCCAGACCATACCTTCTTCACGAGGATGGTGAGGCCCTGGTACTTGAAGGGCTTGGAGAACTCAATGTACTGAGCCCGCTCGTTGTTGATGGTGAGGGGAGCCACAATCATGTCAGCCTGGCCGCTCAGCAGCTCCCCCATCATCCCGTTCCACTCCTTCTTGTTGCTGTTGTTCACCTGCCAGGAAGCCAAGGCTGGGTCAGACCCCTGCCCTGACACACATCCCCCACCAGCCAGGACCCTGCACTTTTTAGGAATCGTGCATTGCCCTTCCACCCCACCCTGCTCAGGAGAAGGGCGTGGGGGTGTTTCAACACACAATACAGGCAAAGAAAGATCACAGGCTGCCCAAACTCACCCGCTCTTGGGTACCAAATTTACCATCAGCCACCAGGTGGACCTCGTAGGTGAAGTTCATCACGCCTGCCAGGCGGATGAGCAGGTCGATGCAGAAGCCGTAGCAGCACAGAGCCACGGTGGGACGGCCTGGGGGAGGGACAGAAGGGGCATGAGGGGGGACAGCCCCAGCCAGGGACCCCACACAGCATCCGTGCCTGTCCCCAGGGAGAGCAGCCACCCCACGGCTCTGGCTCCATGTGGGATGTAACCACGTTTTCCTTCAGGGCCATCTGTCTGGCTGCCCTCTCACACTACCTCCAGCACTGTGGGAGTGGGCAGGCTGGGGACAAAGGGGTCCTGTTCCTTTGCCATGTCCCAGTGAGGTGGGCTGAGAGGGGGTGCTGCCCACCCACTGCAGGCCAAGGAGAGGGCTCAGTGCATGTGCTGGAGCAATCCTGACATGAGTCCAGCAGGCTAAACACAGCCCAGGACACAACTGGGGGGGATGTTGTGCACAGGAAGGTGTGATGAGCCAAGGGGATGCGCTTCAGGTGGATTTGGGCAAGTCTGGTATTGCTGAGCAGCTCCCACCCCACACCAGGTGCTCACTCCTGATCCTGACCCAGTCTCTGTGACAGTTTGAAACTGGTGCTGTGTCAGTGCAGCATGTGTTAACGTGCCTCAGGGTCCTTGCTGCTGCTGGAGATCAAGGCAGAGAGAACTGGAACGTGTCAGGAGACAGAAATTCAGGATGCAATCCCTCAAAGCAGCCCTGGCACCCATCCAGAAGAGACAGTGGGAAAGAGTCTGTTGGGCTCAAACCCCTGGATCCCAGGACCCAACTTGTGCACAGCACTGCTGTGAGGCTGAGCTGATGGAGGGCGTGTCTGGGGGCCAGCTGGGCTGTCATCTCTCTGTGCCTTATCCTCTGGGCCTCCTGTATGACTGAGCACCCTCCCTCGAACCCCTTTTTGGAATGCCAATCCCCCACCCCCCAGACTGAGTTACCTGGGATGGTCTCATTTGGTCCAGTGCAGAAGACCTTTTTGACAGGATCTCCATTGATGGTGAATTCTTCCCTGCACGTCCCATCTGCCTGAGTGGGCTTCACATACACAAAGGGCTCTTGGTGGATGGTCACAATCTGTGAGGTGAAGCACAAACACCCTCTGGTCTGGGTTTTCCTTCAGAGCTACATTCCCATGCTGGGAGCTGGGCTGCCCTCCCCACACAAGTCGTGGTGCCCTCCCCAGCTGCCATCTCGGCCCAGCAGCAGGACCTGGCTTTGGCATGTGAAATCAGAGAATCCTCTAGGCTGGAAAAGACCTTTAAGATCGTGAAATCCAACTGTTAACACAGCATTGCCAAGAACACCGAGAATATTTTCTTTCCCTGCACCCAAGGTGAGGAGTGTCCTCCTTCATGTGGCACTTTCAGATGAGCCTCAAAATCTCTTTCCCTAGCAAGAGACTGATGGGAGACACAGCCAGGACTGGAAAGGGGTTCTAGGCAGTGCCCCAAATTAATGCAGGTGTTTCAGTCCTGCCATAGACTTTCAGTAAAGCAGTAATCACAACACACCCATAGCACCTCTGTGGGGACAACGCTGCCAGTGGGAATGGGACAAATTTGCTGGACAAATGAGCAGTACAACAAATGAATGGTCAAACTGGTAAGATCAACCTGGCCAGGGTCCAGTCACTAAAGTAGGATCCAGTCACTAAAGGGCCTGCTGAGTGACACTTAGAGGAAGAGCATGAGAAACAAAGCAAGTCTGGAGGGACCTTCTGCCAGTGTTACCTCCAGCTTCTGGCCATCAGCTCCTCAGGGATTTCCTGAGCTCAGCCTTGCAGCCACCAATCTGCCCATCCTCCACAAGAGGTTTTAATCTCCTTTTGAATCTTTCCCCCTGGTCTCTGCACTGTTTAACAGAGCTGAACCATGCCTTGGCCAAAGGAGCCCATTCTTGTATTTCTTGCAAACCTCTGACAGGTGTCCTCTGGCTCCCATGAGAAATGGTGAGCGCCTTGTTCTTCCACCTTTCTGTGCTGTTTTCTCTCATATCTACTTCCCACCTGTCTCTTTCCAAACCCAAGGATGCCTGCTGCCCTATCTAGATTGTCTCCAGCTGAAAGTTGTGCCCTGGAACACGCTCCAGTACCTTCTCTATTTCTTTCCCATATCCTCTTCTGGCCTTGCACATGCTGCTGCCAGCTACACAGAGGTAAGAGGCAGATGAAGTCACTGCCTGGCATGCAGAGATCAGAGAAACTCTGCCCTTAATGCCATTTGCTCTTACCTTCAACTTGGTTGACATCTGATAGCCTTGAGGTTTCTCAGTTTCCCCGCCTGGCCAGATGATCTTCCTGTCGTTGGTCAGGACCTGAGATGGATCCCAGAGGAGCAGATGGACATGAGGCCAAGGTGGACACCCCAGTGCCAACCCCTCCCCACCCCGGCCAGGCCTGCACGTACATTGCTGCCGTTGTAAATCCCAACCTGGACCAGTTTCCGGTTCTGCAGGTTCATGATGCTGTAGTTGGCAAACTTCCTGTCCCCGTCCTCGTTGAACTCCACCCGGCCGGTGACACCCTCTGAATACTTGGAGGACATCAACACCCTGTAGAGAGAGAGAAACACAGCTGGGACAACCTAGAACACCTGCTGTGCTGTTGACATGCCTCACAAGGCACCAGAAAGGCAAATGCTTCCTCTCAGTTACCTGCCATAAGCTCACTACCCTGTACAAGTCCAGCCAGAGCTACCCATGGTCTGTTCATAGACCTGTGGTCATCCCCTCCTGGTGGATGGGATCAGTTTCCCAAATGTGCTCTGCCAAATCTGCTGCCATTGCCCCTTGTTCTCCACCAGATCAGTCCCACTTCCCTTTGGAATGATCTGTCCCACAGCACCCAAGGACACTTTCCTCTGGGGCTCCCTGGGAGGTGTGCCCATTGCTACAGCTTTGGTACTGTGCCTGGCATCTGCCCATCCCAGCCTGGCTAGAGGCTCAGGCACACACAAACACCACCAAGGAGAGAACCAGCCCCCAAACCCTGGAAAGGTGACAGTGGAGACACACAGGGATTGGCTGAGCCCCTTGTGACGAGCAGCTTTGACTCGCTCATGCCAGACTGTCACTGCAGGGAATGCCAGAAATGCCTCTAAAACCATCTCCAGGCCTTACAGGTCTCATGCTCAACAGAACTCAAGTCTGCAGGGAGTGGCTGCTGCACCAAGGCCCAGCCCCTGTGGCCCCAGCAGCTGCAGTGATGCAGGGATTGGGGTCTGGAAGCGCATGCAGGACCTGCCGATCCCCCTGCCCTGGCAGCAGCACCCCATGGGCACATGCTCCCATCTGTGACACTCCAGCCTTCACATCCACAGCACCAGGGTTTGCTACAGCCAAGGACAACCTGTCCCATGCATGGACAGCTCCTGGCACCAAGCCCTGCTTGCAGCACTGGACACATGCCACAGCCCTTGGAATGTTCAGCAGGAAACATGACAGCAGCACTGAGGTAAAATGGGACAGAAATATCGCCCTCCCCTGACTGGGCAGAACTCCCCTCTCTCCCACCTCCACCCATGGAATTAGGCTCCAGACTGGAGGAGGCCATGCTCCCCAATCTTCTCCTCCTGGCGTCATTCCCTGCCCACACATCCCAGCTGTCTATGCATTGCCCAGGGTAGCATGGGTTGACATGGACTGAATTGGTGCCAGGCACCAGGATGATGTCTAAAGAGCCTGGAAAAACTGTGTGCCATCGCCTGAGCCTGTGTCTGGGAGAGTTTTCTAGGAGAGATGTAGAGATGTAGCCCACACATCCAAATCATGCAGGACAGTCCAGGCAGCCCTGTGTCACATGCTCCAAAGCTTTAGTGGCCCTAAACAAAGCCACCATGTCCTCCTGCACCTTTTCCACATGCTCCCACCTTTTCCAGCTCTCCCCCACCAGGTCCTCTGCTCTCTCCAGCAGGACCCTTTCCTCAATACCTCTTAAAAAGGGGTCCTGTCTTCCAGATGTTGGTGTTGCCCACGCAGCCCCGCGGTGGGTCTGTGATATTCTCCTTCTCAAACAAGTCGTGCACGGCCTGGGCCACCACGGCGACAGCGTCACTGATGTGGGCTGACTCGTTCTTGCCGTTGATGAGCTGCAAACCGATCACTCCTGCCGCGGCACAGGGGGAGGCGGGTCAGCATCCATGGCTGCTCCAGCGTCACTCCCATGCCCAGCTCTTGGGACAGCGAGCACGTGGCTAGGGGCTGAGGATCCCTCGGGTGCAGCAGGAAGGTGCCTGAGCTTCAGGCAGGAGCAGGCAGGGGCAGCGGGGCCGGGCTGGCACCCTGACACCCCGCGCTCCATGCCCAGGCCCTGCCCGAGCCTTCCCGGGTGACAGGCAGCTTGCGAAGCCGCAGTGGCACGGATCTGGGGCGCGGCAGCCCCAAGGTGGCCGAGGCCGGGTCCCCAGGCAGGGGGAGAGGGCGGAGAGCGGAGTGCGGGAGCAGCAGGGCACCGCGCCGCCCCAGCCCGAGGGGTCCCGGGAGGGCAGGGCCGCTCATCCCGGCTGCCTCGGCCTCTCCGGGGCTGGCTGCAGCGGCACGGCGCTCGGGAGGTGCCTACCGTCCGGGGCGTAGCGCAGGGCATTGCCCGAGATCTCCCGCTCCCCCACCAGCCACACGTAGCCCGAGCCCGTCATGTTGAGCATGGCTGCCGATCTGTACACCGTGGCCGCGTCATCCTCGCTGCAACGACACGAAGGGAACGGCCATGGGGCTCCTCGGCCAGACCCGAGGGTGCGGCAGTGCCGGGGGACACGCCACGCCGGGTGACTCTGCTGGGCAAGGCTAAATCCTCCATGCAGCGGGACCCTTGCTCTCAGCTTCAGCACCTGCCCGTCTGCCCAAAGGGCTGAGGCCGGGGCCATCAGGCCGCCCTCCTTCGCGGCGGGGCCAGCACCATCGTGAGCAGCGCGCTGGGCTGTCCCTGCCCGGGACACGGCTGCCGGGGGTGCTCCTTGCAAGGCTGTCAAACCCCAAATCCACCCTGACTCCAGCGCTGGGCAGCGTCGGGAGAGAGGAAATCCGAGCAGGGAGGGGAAGGGGCGGCAGGGCTCACCTGGCAGAGAGGATGATGACCCTGGCCTCCAGCTCCTTCGCCTCCAGCAGCAGCGCTGTCACATTTTTGGTCCCAGGGTCAAACTGAAGCACTTTCTCAGCCTGTGATGAGTGTGAGCAAAGCTGGTTAGTGAGTGAGCCCCAGGACTGGTGGTGAGAGCCATGCTATCTAGAAAAGGGTCAAGAGAATTCATTAAACTGCACAAAAGTCCGCTAAATAAGATTGGTTATAGTTATTTTTTTTCTTTTTCTTTCCTTTCTTTCTTTTCTTTCTTTCCTTCCTTCCTTCCTTTCTCTTTTAAGGTTTTGGCTTTTTGGTTGTTTTATTTATTATATTTTTTTTTTGCACTGTGCATGCAAACTGAAGTCAATCAAGACCCAAAAAGAGGCGTGCATTGTACAGGAAAGAGAAAAAGGCTTTGAAATGCAATTGAAAACTCAAACGAGTGTTGTTTTTCAAAAACATGGGAAATGAAAAAAACATATTGCACAGGGTTAACCTTTAGGAATCAAAGTGAGCAACTTACACCAAGGAACTGTTTCCTTTGGGGAGGAAAGGGGGTTGGTTCAACTTTTCAAAAAAAAAAAAAAAAAAAGAACTTGCAAGTTAATTACTGGTTCACATGCATGTTTCAAAAAGAAATCCTTCCAGGGTCAGCTGGCTACGTTTCCATTCTCAAGTCCAAACCAAACTATCTCAACATAAAAACGTGCTACCAAGGAACATAGTCATGGATATTTTTTTTCTTTCTTTTCTTTTCTTTTTTTCTCTTTCTCTTTTTTTTTTTCTTTTTTTTTTAATTTTTCTGTTGGCTGTGGCTATTTTTCATTTGCTAGTTAGGTTGGTGGGCGGCGTGCATTTCCATGCATATATACCTTGGGTCCTCGCTTGTTGTCATAGGAAAGTTGGTCGAGGTTTTCATAGTTCCTTTTTTTACTCTGATGAATAATGTGCACAGAGAAAATATGTAGACACAGAAGAATATTATAAACAGTTGAAAATGACGTGTAGTAAAGCAATCCAACATCCACCTCCTCCTCCACTGTTTGCTAAAGGGTCTCTATAACGCTGGAGCTCGCAAAAACCACTATCAGGAGGGATTGTGCCTCAGCTCTCACGGGAGCGTCACGGAGCAATCTGAGAGCAAAGCCTGAGTGGCACAGCTGGTGCGACGCAGTTGCATATTGCCTTGAGGGACTGGGGGATTCTTCAGCAAGGAATTTTTATCTTAAGCTCAGAAACAATCTAAGGGCCTAAGTGGTGGGGTTTCCATGGAATTACTGTGGAAGTAAAGGACAAAATGTTGTGTACGGAAAGTGCTGGATAAAGGCAAACTGTTACAGTTAAGAGTATTAGCATTGCTAGCATCACTATCAGCATTACAGTCCTGTCCACCCTCAGAGAGTCCACACAAAGTGAGGTGTCTCAGCTGAACCTCTCACCCCCTGAACGGAGGGAGCAGCTTCCTGAGCTCTGTTGACATCCAAAAGAGAAAGATAAAGTTCTCTAGGTCCCGTGCTGGCTCAAAGCGTGGCGATATGGAGCAATGGTGAACATGGGATGGCATTGCAGCTTTTACCTGGTCCCTGGATCAAAGGGCAGTCTCTGGGCCCGGGGCACCTCATGGCTCTGCAGCACATGGGTGGCCCTGGGAGGCGCAGCTGCCCGAGCCCAGGGCCCCCTAAGCTGGCCCTAAGCGTGGCTAGTGGGGCTCACTGCTTGGGGCTCTCCGTGCTGCTGCCTGGAGCATGCCAGCAGGGCTTGGGGCTGACCCCAGAGAGATCGGGCTGGAGCACGGACCCTGCTCCTCCCCTGCTCTGCTGCCTCAGCCGCTGGCGCTGCCTGGCCCCAGAGGAGCCCAGGGCAAGGCAGCCACTGCTGGAGGTTTCCTCTCGGGCAGGCAGCGTGCTGAGGGCCCACAGCCTTTGCTCAGAGCCCTGGCCCTGCAGCAGCCTGCACAGAGCCCTGGGACCTCTCGGGAGCAGCCACTGTCACAGGCCAGTCACAGCAAGCTGATGGTGCCTGCAGGAGAAGGGCTTGGCAGGTTTTGGTGGGACATAGTGTGACATCTTCTCCTTGACCCCGCCCCATCTGAGTGTCCCTGATCTGTGTACATGGGGTGTGGGACACAGCTCTACTCTCTTGTCCATTTTTCCAGAGCCTGATGGCAATGGATCCCTGCCAGGAGCCTGACCCTTTGCACCCCAGCACAGGGGTCCATGCTCCCAGGCTGCTCCTCAGACAGACAGATTGCTCTTCATTTTTTTTTCCAAACTAATTAGCTTGCCTTTTTCTGAGCATTCAGGCCAGTCTTTGGCAGGACATCTTGTCAGGTCTCCTTTCCATGCAGCTGTGTGACCTTTCCTTTCTTCCCCTTGGACGCAGACTGACAGGTTTTTCATTGTTTAAAGAAATTGGGCCCTGGCAAGAAAAAGTATGTGAAAAGGCAAAATCTGCTTGGAGCCCAGGTCTGCCTTCATTTCTGATGACTCCCACAGTGAGGATTTCTGCAGTGGCTTCTTCGTGGCTGCTGCTGGGCCTGCAGTGAGCCCTGGAGCAATGACTGCAAGGACACCAGAGATGCAGCAGGACAAGCAGGAATGTTCTCCAGTCAGGCAACGCTGGTCACTTCTCCCCAGGCACAGTCAATGTAGCCAAAAATTTGGTCATCCATGCTGCAGCCACCAACCAGAAATTCCTGGGATGTGCTGGCACTTCGACCCAGGCTGGTCAGCAGAGTCTTCAGTACAACAAGGCTGGCCCCTGGTCACCTCTCCCTGTCACTAGCCCTGTTTCCAGAATTACACTAGCAGTCCTCCTTTTCCCTTTTTTCCATGTGGTCCTGCAGCCTTCTCTGATCTTCACATTTCACACAGGGACTGACGAATCAGAAATTCCCTTTCCACCACGTGCTCCTGCTCAAAAATTTGCCACTTTCATGAAGGGCACTGTCCCACAGAAAGGCAGGCAGCACAGCAGGGACCTGCCACCTCTGACCCAGAGCTCTGGTTTCAGTGTCCAGCACTCCCTTCCAGCAGCCCCATGAACGAGCAGGGCTGTGCTGGGTGGAGCAGCTCCAGGCTGGGAGCTGCTGCAGACAGCCCCAGGAGAAGGCCAGCAGCATATGGGGCACTCCAGGCTAGCCAGCACGGCCTGGGTGCTGGGCTCAGGGTGCTGCTGGAGGTGCAGAACCCACACGGTGGTGCCTGGATGGCACATGGGGCTGGCACAGACCCTGGGGGCAAAGCCATGCCCCAAACCAAGAGCCCAGATGGCAGATGAGTCTCTGACCCTGAGCAGGTCCTCCGTGTCCTCAGGGACTGTGGTCTAAGCCTTGAAGAGGTCGAGATCATGTCTCCTGACTGCTCCCTCCCCAGGGCCCAGGCTGCCCTTGGAGAGGCTGGGGAGGGCCCATGGTACAAGTTCATGGCATGAAAAGAGCCAGCATATCAGTGATCAGAAGAGAGATTGGAGAGAAGAGGTGGAGGAAGACAGGAAAGCCCCAACGGGGTATCTGCCACCTGCAAGACCAGTCAGACCAGTCTGCCTGACCTTTTGTCAAAGGAAAAAGAAACAAGATGCAGTGGAACACCCCAAAGAGAAGACAAGGTGACCTACTGGGACAGAGCAGGTGCCCCAGGCTGGAGAGTGGCTCGAGCATCTGCAGCAGCCCAGGGGCTGCCAGAGGACACCAAGACATGGTAGATGCAGTGCAAAATGGGGGAAGGTCTCAGGACAGACTCTCCCTCCCCATCCTTCAAGCTCTCATAGGCTTTCCTGCAGAGTGGGAAGTCTGAAGAAGAAATGCACCCTGTGCCTGGAAGCACCACATGGGGCAAATGGGAGTGGAGGCATGAGAGGGAACAGCAAAATGGGATGTACAGGAATTACAGGAAAACAGAAAGTGGAACTCAAAAGATGCAAGAGGAGGGAGAGAGACTGACAATGTCTCTCCCTGTATGCAGGGCATTGTGCTGGGAAGAGACTTTGGAGAAAAACACTGTCACCCAGTGGGAAGCTGCCTTTGGAGGCAGGAGGATCCCTCTGTGGCTGGTGGAACATCAGGGCTTGTGACAGCCTGGGGTGCAGCAAGGATGAAACTTCTTGAAAATCACCTCCATAATCAGGAGTCTGTTGGTCAGTGTGGCTTGTGCCAGCCTGCACCCCCGCAGCAGCTGTTCCTCCAGGGAGGTGATGCAGAGCAGTCACAGGATCCCATCTCAGCTCAGCCACCAACTCCAACCACAAGAAGCATCCATGGCCACATCTCAACAGCTGAGAGACTGCCAAAGGTCTAGCAGCTGCAGGTGGGGCTGCAAGGAGCAGGTTGGGGTCCCTGCCTGTGACCAGGAGGGAACATCCCCAAATGGGTGCCTGCCCTGATGCTGCTGGAGACTTGGATGAACTCAGGCTCTGCCCATCCGAAAGGGACCTCACCCTGCCCCAGGAGAGAGGACACGCTGAGACAGGAGGTGTTTCCTTGCCTTCCAGATTGCAGCCACACAGCTCCCTGTTCTCTCCTTCTCTGCTTGCCTTGAACACTTGTCCAGTCCCTTCCCTCCAGGCCGTGGCTCTGCGCTTTGTCCCCGCTCCTCGGGGCCCTGCCCTGCTCCCTCCCTGCTCCCGCTGGCCCTGAGAGCAGGAGCGAGGTCCCACACCCGGCCCTGCCATGCATGGGGTGTCAGGAAAGCAGCGTTTGGCATGTGCTTCGATGGAGATGGGAACGGGCCGAGAGCGCTACCGAGAGGATCATCAGAGCCCCGCTGCCCTGCCCCGCCCGGGCACTGAGCTGAGCCCCCGATGGCCAATTCAGAAGCTGCTTTTCGGGGTGGGCTTGGCACTGCTGGGTCTGCCTGGCCCCGGGGTGGCTGCAGTGGGGCAGGTGCTTCCCTAAACTGGTCCTCTCCTTGGGTGGGAAACTCGGGCAAGGCATTTGCAGAGCTCCAGGTTATCCTTCCCTTCATTTTGTAGTCGATTTACATGTAGGAGATTTTGACCATGGCAAAGCAAGTGAAATGAATAAAGTACAAAGTTCTGTCAGGTACTAGTCAGACACTGTTGATGCTTTAAGCATGTTAGCCATGTTACAATGGAAAGAAAAGGTGTTTTACATACAGAAATCTACATACATACAACAGCCCAAGACTTCTAGTTTCGTTGTTGTTGCTTAAACAAAGCTACAAGACAATGTTCAGGAACTGACCTTGGACTCTTTCTCCTCCAGGAGGGTCTCCAGCTTCTTCTGTGCAGCACGACCCTCGTGGTCGTCGCTGACTATCAGAATGACGTGGTTCCAGTTGAAGACTCTCATCATCTCAAACCAGACGTTGGCCTGGTGAGAGTAAGGTGGGACCGTGCGCAAAAAGGACAGGTGGATGCTCTGCAAGGAAGAACAAGAGCTGAACACAGACTGTGGGGGTGTCAGCCACGTCTGCAGGGACAGGGACAGGGACAGGGACAGAGACAGGGATCCATTCTGGGATGCACACCTTGAGCTAACCTCTAGGACCTGCATCCTTCCTTCTGGCTGGGAGCAAACCCTGGATATGACTTTGTACCTCTCTGTGGTTAAACCAGAGCATGGCAAAGGGGAGTTTCTGCTTTGTGGTCCATAAATGCACAAAGAAAAGCCTGTCGAGCCATGAATGACCAGCAGTGTTCAGTGCAAATATAGCCTTGCCTCTTGACCTTCTAAATAATGACCAGACAATGGACATCAAAAAGCAGAAGAATTCCCTTCAGAAGGCAAGAGGCAGGTACAGGCAGCTGTGTGTTCCTCATGTCCATGGCAGAAGTTCAAAGGCAGTTTTATAACATGGTCCCTGGCTGTTTCTAGGTCAGCCTGTTCTGCAGCAGCAGGCAGAGGAGGCAGCTCTGGACCCGTGCCCCAGCAAAGCTCTCTGGTTGGGTTAGAGACATCGTTATGGTTGGGTGATTGTGCAATAGCAATTCCAGCCTAATTAAGTACAGTGCTCTTAGGGGAGCAATCAGACCAAAAGCTGGAGCTGGCAGAAAGCTTTCAAACAAATGCAGCTTGTCCAAAAAGCCCTAGAGTCAAATATTAGGAAGTGAAAGTGCTCATGCTCAGCATGGACCCTACTTGACAGCCCAGCTATGTGCTGGAGGGAGGCAGGAGCCAGAACTGGAGAGGACAAAAATAAAGCACCATAATATTTCTTTCTCTAAGGCTGATATGGTGGTCTGAACCAAACAGGGCTTGTCCAGACCTGCTCATCCAGAGACCAGACCCAGAATGGGTCAGAAATGTCCTGAATGGGCCAAAGTAACACACACTGGGAAGGAAAAGGTGTCATGTTCCCCAAGGACACACACAGGAGGAACAGACCTGTGATAAATCCTCTTCCTCACACTCCACACAGTGATAATGTCAAACCAGACCATGAAACGTGTGGAAAAAGATGCAAACTCCCTGCTGTGCTCAGGGCTTCCTGCACAGGATCAGCAGTCCCTGCTCCTGCCCCAGCCCAGCACATGGGAACAGGGGAGCAGCAGAGCCACCACAGCACCGGGAACATTTCCTGAACTGAGACACTGAGGAGGAGGCTGGGTGTTTAACCAGAGGAGGAAACAAACCAGGAGAGCCCCAACAAGACTCTCAGAGTATGACTGATACAAACAGTACAGTTACAGGAAAAGCAGCTCACCCCACAAACCCATGGGATTGGGAAAAAGCCCCACAGGGACAAAGAATGGAAAAACAGCCATGGTGTCCACACTAACACAGTGTGCAAGATCTCTCTGAGGTCAGCAGAGATGCCCAGGAATTTCCAGGTCCAGCTGCACAGCCTGGGCCAGGGGCACACCACCTGGGTCTAAGCATTTATAATTTTCAACCCCTCAGCATTTTTAATTGCTTTAAGGAAATCCAGGGAAAGTGAAACTGGAAATGGGAAAAAAAATCGGAAGAGAGCAAAGAGCTGAAAAAATAACAGAAAAGCCAATATTAAAGAATTAAATCAGAGAAACATAGGTTAAAACATCTATAAAAATTCTTTCAATCCCTTTTTCAAATGAAAAAAAAAACTTTGAAATTTCTGTATATTGCATCAAATTACTTTCTAGCTTCCCAACCAGCTTGCAAAAATGGTGTTTAACCAATCATGGCTTTCTTAAGTATTATAAATACATAACACTGGGTTCAGAGGAAAAAAATACTGCAAAGTTGTTGGTGGGCAACTTGGTTTAACAGTCCAGGCAAATTTGCTTTCTGATGTGGTGTCAAAAAGGTCATGGACACACTCTGGTGGTATCTCAGCTCCTGGATCCCTGAACTGTGGTTTTCAAATAGGATAATGAAGAAAAATTCATGTCAAGTGCTGAGCTGAGATCTCAGGATGAGCACTTACGGTCTGGCACAGCTTTTGAAGCACCTGGGACTCCTGAGCATCTTTGCAAGGACCAAAGAATGGCAGAAAAATGAACAAAGTCCCCCAGAGGTTCACATGGCAGAGGCAGGTGAGGATCCATCTTGGTGTGATTTGATACCTCCCCCATCCCAGCACATGCAGTGACATCCCCCAGGTCCCTGTCACATCCCTCTGGAACTCAGCACAGAGCTCTGCTGGGCACGGGCACATGGGCTGCCCTGAAGAGGAAGCGGGGGGGCAGCGATTTGTGCACCCTAATTAGCCCATTTTTTTGCAGATAACTGTTAAAAAAGAGCAGTGGTTTTTAGCAGAGTCCCTGTGAGACAGGGGCACCGGTCATGGGCTCGCTCAGCTGCACCCGCTGTGCTCCTGGTGTGCTGCTCCAGCACTTGAACTCGGGCTGTCCTCACTCCCTCCCCTCGGATCAGGCCCTCAGCAAAAACTGCTCCTCACTACAAATCCACACTGGCCTTGTGGGGTGGTTTGTAGGATCCTCACCCCTCGCTCTGCTCTGTGTGCCTGGTGCCAGCCAGTGCTGCAGTGGGACCATGGCAATGGCTCACAGCACCCCCAAAGCTCCCTGCAGCCCACCCACACCTCAGTGCTCAACCCTGTGCTCCCCGCTTCATTCTAGTTCTGCAAAAGGGCAGCAAATACAGGCTGGGGTGAAATCCAGGGGCCCAAGCTCAGCAGGAACCCAGGGCTTGGAGCCAAAAAGCACGAGAATGAGCAGGGTTGGAGGGTGGGGATATGTCCTGTGAGGGTGGGCAGGCCCTGGCACAGGGTGCCCAGAGCAGCTGTGGCTGCCCCTGGATCCCTGGCAGTGCCCAAGGCCAGGCTGGATGGGGCTTGGAGTAACCTGGGACAGTGGAAGCTGTCCCTGCCATGGCAGGGGTGGCACTGGGTGGGCTTTAAGGTCCCTCCCATCCCAAACCAGGCTGGGATTCTGTGATGATTCTGTGTGGAGTCAGGACTTGACAACTGCAAATATCTGATGCAAGCCCATACAAAGAGGAGCTGTTTGAGCAGACGAGTGTGTGTGTGTGTGTGTGTGTGTGTGTGTGTGTGTGTGTGAAAGCACACACTGTACATGCACAGCTGTGAGCCCACACCTGCAGAAAGCACAGGACAGAAAGCACAGGAGTACTCCACTGCCTGCAGGGAACGTGCCTGGGTGCTGCAGTCCTGTGCACAGCCTGCAGCCGGCTCTGAGCTGGGGGAGAGCACTAGGGGTGCCTTGGCATGGGGGTTTTACCCACAGGGAAAAGGGCACGGCTGGGGGCCAGCAGGCAGTGCCTGTGTGCCCCATCAGGGCCTTGCAGAGCACCATGAGTGAAGGGTTTGTCTCCTGCCTGCCCAGGGGCTCACCCCAGCCAGAGCCCAGGCTGGGGGAGGGTTTTTTCCTGCAGGCTGAAGGGAGCAATGTGCCTTTGCTTCATTACCTGTGGCTGTGGGGTCAGCTCCCCTTCCAGCAATGCACTCCCCAGCTGAGCTGCCTGGGGAATTTCAGAGAGATTGACAGAGATCCCAATCTGTAGAGCTCCTGAACATTTGGTTAAATTCACCAGCTGGGCATGAGAAAGAAGTGTTGGCCAGTGTTTCCATGGAGGGAGCCTGCCCACCGCCCCACATGAGAGCTGTGGGGTGGGAGGGAGCTGAGACAGCTCTGAGATAGCTCCGAGAGTGCGGGGAGGGATTCTGGGGACAGAGCTCAGACTGAAGTGCCCTCTCTGCCTTTCCCTGCAGTGCACGGAGACAGGGACGGGGCAGGGCCACTGTGGGGTGCTGGGGCTGCTCTGTGCTGCTCCCAGCTGGAATCTGGGAGCCTGTGGGGGTCTGCTGCCATGGGGGAGCTCCATCAGGCCATCTCTCCACTACCCTGGCCTGCTCTTGCACATTCTAGGCTGCCCTGCTGAGGCTTCTCCTGCCCTGATGAGGCTTCTCCTGCCCTGCTGAGGGCTGTGTTCCCACTCCCAGGACAAACATCTCTGTGCTGCACCAAGCAGCCTCTACAGTCATCACCTGGGGGTGCCAGTGGAGGGGTACTGACCCTGACCTTGGTCAACGAGAGCCACTTTTGTCCCCACCTGCACCTTCCCAGCCCTAACAGGGCTCCCTCTGAGCATAGGCTGCCTGTGAGGCAGTAATAAAGCAGCAAACCCTTTGCAGTGAAACAAGCCCTGTGAGGGCCTGGAATGGTTCCATGGAGAGCAGGAACCAGAGAGAAAATCCCTCCCCTGACTGGAGAGAGAGGCAGACCTCACCTAACTACCAGGGCAAGGTGCTGGAGCTGAAGAAGCTCTCCAATTGCAGCACGTCTAAACTCCACTTTCCAACTCCTCCAGCAGCAGAGCAGGGCTCTTAATTTATTAATTTATTATTAATTTATTATTTTTTGCTCTATATCCCTACTCCTCTGCTGCAATAATCTGCTGTGGGATGGGGAGGGGCTCAGCAGCCAGGGTGTCCCTCCAGCCCCACAGGTCCCTCGTGGTGGTGTTGGAGAGCACAGACCTTCCTGAGCTGTGCATCCCCAGGCTCTGCTCTCACACTCGGTGTCAGCTCACGTTTTTCATGGTGGCAGCGTGTCAGTGTCATCTCGTTTGTTTCAGCTGAGGTGCAGAGCAGATAGAAACACCCCCAGTGGCCTGTGGGGGACAGAAGCACTGAGGCAAAGTCAGAGGGGGATTTTTGCAATGCTCGGCCCATGAGATCTCCCTGCAGGGCTCTCCATAGCCATGGAAACACAGTGATGGGAACCATTCTGCTGCCTTCACTTTGAGAGTCCCTCTCTCCCCCAGTCCTCTGCTGACCTCTCCCAGAGGTGATGGATCCAGAGACTCCTCCCCAGCAGGCAGGACTGTGCTGGGTGCTGTGAGGGCCTCAGTGAAGGAACAGCTCATGATTTCATGAGGTGTACAAGGAGGCCAAGCCAGAGTGCTCTGCCTGCTAACTGCAATATTATTTCTAGAATAAATGGTTGGATACTGTAACAGTAAAACTCACTTCCCTCGGGTATCTTTTCTGAAAGACTGGGCCACTGTCCTTGAGACTGGAGATGCTCTGAGAGCATCAAAAGGTTCTGGGCAAATCTTCCATGCTGAGGCCCACACCTTTCCTCCCCGGTAGCCTTAAGAGGACCAAAATTAACCCAACTTCAGCCCCCTGTGAAATTCAGCTAAAATTGTCTGTTGCCTCCAAAACCAATTAGGGGCGTACATAAAAAGTGATCCTACAAGCTTGTTTCCATAGAAACTAAGCTGAAAGATATAATTTCCTGAATTAAAACAAAAAAGAAAGCAAGCTGATCACTGGAAACCAAAAAGGGAACAGCTGAATGTCCCTGTGTCACGAGCCAGCCTGTCCTGCATGGGGTGTGCAGAACCTTCCACTGTCCTGTCCCACAGCTCCACAGCCCTCTGTCCCCCACTCCACTGCCACCTTTGCTGTCCCCTCCACTGTCCAAACATCCTTTGTTCCTCTACGCAGTCCCTGCCTTTGCTCCATCTCCTGCCTGCAGCTCCCTGCTCTTCAGAGAGCTCCAAGCCTTGGTGGGCAGGAGGCTGAGCACGATGCCAGCCAGGCAGGAGTGCTCTCAGGGGTGTTGGGGTGGGCATCCTGGGCTCCCTGCCCAGCCTCTGCCAGGCAAATGTACCCCTGAACCTGTTCAACACCCCAGCACCTCCCTGCCAGCACACTGGGTCACCACTGTGGCCGTGGGTCTCTCCCCAGCCCTGAAGTGAGCCAGGTGGGGGTTATGAGGCTGCTCTGCAGAAAACATGTTTTAAAAAGGAAAAGACTGGCAGAAGGAGAGGACAGAGTCAGCCCCTAGGGGTGAGCACTCCAGGCCAGCACGAGGCTGGACACCCAGGTGGGCAGGGCTGCTTTACTGGGCACAGCCCTGCAGAGATGGAGCAAGAGGAGGTGCAGGGTCCCCTTTCGCTGCCATCCTGGGCCCTGTGACAAGGACCCTCTCAGTGACATTCCTGTCAGATCTATCTCCTCCCCAGAGCAGCAAGAAGTGAATCCCCCCTGAACACTTCCTGCCTGCTCTGCCAGCTCTGCCCCCATCCCTTGCCATCTAACCATCCTGGTGGGACTCTGGCAGGGTGCGCAGGTCCCCAGCCCTGCCAGCCACCATCACCATCACTGCCATGGTCATGGCTTGCTGACCACCCTGCCATGGCTTCCTGGTGGGAGATGCCAAAATCTGCTGCTGCTCCAGCCAAGCAGTGATGCTGGTGCCTCTCTGGGAGCTTCTGCTCCTCCTCCTGAAATTTGACTTTATTTACTGTGTAGGTGGAGTGACTATTTTTGCACTGAACATTTACATTTGTGAATATTCACATTTTCCAAGCAAAGGCTGATTCGTGCTTTGAAGCAGGCTCGGTCTCACCCACTGAGCTCGTGTGCCTGGATGAAATCCTGCAATGGCATTTGGAAGGCCTGGCTCTGCTCAGCTCCTCCTTTTGCCTTTCCTAAAGCTTTAGGTGTTTGTCAAAGGGGCGTGAGCTGAGGGCCAGGGCAGCACCTCATTGCCCAGGCACTGCCTGCACATGGCAGGACCTCATCCAGTCTGGAGGTCTCTGAGTTCCCACAGGGACAGCTGAGACACTGGAATCTGAACACCTGTCTTGAGTGCTGACCAGCCTCAATCTCATGTGAAGCCTCAGGATATTCTGTTATCTCCCCTACAAATATCCCACAAATCCAGAGAAGTGAATGCAACCAAACAACCTCCCAGCTCCAGAGAGATGTACAGGCTCTAACAGGATCCTCTACCCTTCCCAGGCCCCCCGAGCCCCCAGGACCCCCTGGCTGGCAGCAGTGAGCAGGGCAGGAGCCAGCTCCTGCCTTTGCCATGGCTGAAGAGCAGCGAGCCCGGCAGCTTGCAGAGCAGCGCTGCAGAAATCATCTGGCACTATGTAGGTCAGCACTGGCAGCTGCAAGAAAATTATGTACCCTGGAATGCAGGGGAGAGACAGAGAGAGAGAGGGAGAGGGGGAGAGAGAGAGAGAGAGAGGGAGAGAGAGAGAGGGAGAGAGAGAGAGAGATATGCAGGCTGGGCTGGAGAGGGTGGACGGACAGACACAGAGAGTGCAGACATCATGAACCCTCCTGCCGGGCACTCTTGATTTACAGCACATGTATGAGGTACCAGAGCAAAGCATGCATCAGTTACCTTATCAGAATATATAGACATGCGTGTTGTCAGACCAATGACAGGGATCCTGTAGAAGCCAGCTGTGTATGATACAGGTGTTGGTGTTAGGTGATCGTTGGGAGCAGGAGGGTGACTAACTAATATTGCATAGACCTGTAGGACAGGATACACGACACAAACATTATTTCACGGGAGTGCAACGGCCATCGAGCGTGGTTTGTTTTTCCCTTTTCTTTTCTGCAATGCTAAACAGCCCCATGTTAACATGATAATGGCACTGCAATGGCTCGGAGCGGGGAAGCAAGGGCTGTGCTGGGAGCCAAGGGTGCTGTGCCACGGCTGGAGGGGATGGCTCTGCTCAGGGTTACGTCCTAATGGAATGCCGTGCCCAGCCGCTCTGCTCGCTAAACTAATAACTTCCATGGATTAAAGGGAAGCATCTCCCTTCCAGTCACACTGTGTAATGCGATTTCTTTAACCACACATTTAATACTCGGTTGTAATTCCCCTCTGAGGACTATTAGGAACAAAGTGGTCAGCTGGGACTGTGGCGGGAGCGGGAGCGCGGAGCCAGGGAGCGAATCAGCCATCTGGCCCTGGGCACACGGGAATGGCAGAGCGCGCAGGGCGGGGGCAGGAGCCGGGATCCTCGGCCGAGGATCTGGGCTATACCAAAATGGGGAAGGAGGATCCCGGGAAAATTCCGCTGTTACGACAGAACTGGGATTTTGGTCTCCAGCAGGATCCTGCTTTGTGTCAAAGGGAGAGGAAGGAGCTGGGTACTCCCTGGGGATCCTTTATTACACCAATGTCCTTTTGCAGCACAAGGAATGTCCCCAGCTGGTGACAGGTCTCCAGCTAGGGCGAATCAGTGCAAGGACTTTGATGTCTGGAGGAAATAACTCTTCCTTCTCCAAGCATCTGCCCAAGCCCCAGGATGTGCCCAGCACCCGGGCTGGAGGGACAGATTGGCCAGGACAGGAGGGAATGATGGAGCCTGCTTGGGGAAGGGCCTCTGCAGTCTGGAGGAAGAGGGAGGGATCCTGCTTGGCATCAGGAGGGTGTAAAGTGAGGGCGCAGAGGGAGCTGGGGCAGGGGCTGGAGACCCTACGTGGGAGTAGGGAGAAATTGCTAGAGAAGAGCTTGGGAAGGTCCTGGGGATGCAGGAGGAGGGGATGCCCTGGGCAGAGATGCCCGGTGCTGACACAGGGGGTGAGGACCCGCACCCAGCAGGGCGGGGCAGGGCGCTGGGGCAGGAGCAGGCTCGGGGGCAGCAGCGGGGCGGTGCGGGGCTGGGTTTGTGCTGTGGCGCACGGCAGCCGCCGGCAGGAGCCATTTTATGTGCGCGGGCTGCCAGCCCCTCCTGTGCCTCGCAGCCCCCGCTCGGGCACGGCGCCAGCGAGCGGGGACCGAGCTGGGCACAGCGGCCGGGACAGCCCCCAGCGTGTCGGACAGAGCGGGCACCCCGAGCCCAGCGCCCCAGCAGCCCCAGCAGCCCCAGCAGCCGCGGCCCCTGCGCGCCCCGGCCGCGCTGCCTCCCGCACGGCTGTGCCCGCAGCGGGCCGGCGCTCCGCGGGCGCTGCGCGGGGACAAGGCGTGGAGGCGGCACGGCCACGGGCATCCATCGGCCGGCAGCGCCGAACGGAGCCTCGGCTCAGGGCCGGACCCGCTGAGCCTCCCCTGCTGCCAGGGGACACCGGGGGTCGGCGAGAGCCCGCGCTGCCCGGCATGGCCACCTCCCCACGGCTGTCCCCAGCCACCCTCCACCTCCACAGCGGGAAGCTGAGCTGCAAAGGCGTCGGCTGTGCCCCACGCGGCCCCTCCAGCCCCCTGCCCTCGCTGGCTGTGCGTGCCCGGGTGCGCACACGCATTTCTCTGCGCCTTGGGGCGGGTGAGGCTCCGTGCTGGGGGCGCTCATGCAATTCGGGGCGCGTTCCCATCTGCGCACGGGCCCCCGCGGACCTTCCGCAGGTGCGGGGTGTGCTGGAGGAGGGGTGGGTCTGTACCTGCCTGCCCGCCCCCGATGGCCCCGACTGACGGCCTGGGGGTGGCTAGCCGGGCCCTGCACCCGGGGGACACGCAGGGGAGGTGGAGAGGCCAGGCCACGGGCTGCGCGGGGCACCCCAGGGTGCACCCGCAGCTCTGAGGGCTCGGGCTGCACCCTCAGGTGCGGCTGAGAGTGACCCGTGGGCACAGGAGGGACATGCTCGTGTGCACAGTCATACACAGCACACACCGAGTCTGTGTGCGTGAGCACCCTGGGGCTGTGTGTCTGTGCGTCTGTGCAGGTGTGCACCCTGGGTCTGTGTGTCCGTGTGTCCGTGTGTCTGTGTGCCTGTGCGTGCCATGCCTGCGTGTCTGCACCCCCAGCTGTGTGTGCCCGTGTCCCGCCTGTGCGTGTGGCAGTGGGTGTGCCAGGTCCCTCACACAGATGTGTGTGTCCATGTGTCACAGCAGCTGTGCACGCTGCACAAGTGCAGACTTCTTGTATGTGAGCCCATGTTTGCACAGCAGTGCACGTGTGCACATGGCATGTGTGCGTGTGGAATGTGTGTGTGGAGTGTGTGCATGTCTGTGCACATGGAATGTGTGTGTGTGCATGGAATGTGTGCACATGGAGTGCAGCCCATGGGCATTCCCACATGTGTGAGGGCACAGTCTGCGTACATGCTTGGTGTTCCCTGTGCCCACACGTCCCCCCAGTTTGGGGATGCCCATGTGTGCTCACACCTAGCTCTGTGTGTGGTGTAGGTGTATGTGCATATTGCTGTGCATGTACAGCATTGGGTGGGCATGTATGTGCACAGCTCAGGGTATGGGGGCCTGTGTGTGCCCTGGTATGTTTGTGAGCCTGTGTGTGCCCTGGTATGTTTGTGCTGTGTGTGTGCCCTGGTATGTGTGTGAGCCTGTGTGTGCCCTGGTATGTTTGTGAGCCTGTGTGTGCCCAGTGTGTGTGAGGCTGTGTGTGTGCCCTGGTATGTGTGTGAGCCTGTGTGTGCCCAGTGTGTATGAATCTGTGCATGTCTGGGCTTCATGTGTGAGTGTCTGTGTGCCCAGTGTGTGTGTGTGAACCTGTGTGTGCCCAGGGGCTGTGTGTGAGCCTGTGTGTGCTCAAGGGCTGTGTCTGTGTTAGTCTATATGTGCTCAGGCTTCGTCTGTGAGTCTGTGCCTGCTTGGGCTTCGTGTGTGAGCCCATATGTGCCCTGCTATGTTTGTGGGTGCTTGTGTGCACCCCAGAGTGTGTGTGATCCCTCTGTGCCCTGAGGGGGGGGTATGTGTGCCTGCATGTGCCCCAGGGCTGTGGGTGTGCCCCTGTGTGCCCCGGGGTGGTGGTGTGAGCCCGTGTGTGCCCGGGGGCGTGTGATGCCCGTGTGCACCCTGGGGTGTGTGTGTGAGCTCCTGTATGCTCTGAGGCGTGTGTGTGAGCCCATGTGTGACCCGGGTGGGCGTTGCAGGTGGCTATGCGTGCCCCAGGGTGTCAGTGGGTGCCCGTGCGTGCCCCAGGGTGTCAGTGGGTGTCTGTTGCAGGTGGCTATGCGTGCCCTGGGTGGTGTGTGTGAGCCCGTACGTGCCTGGGGGCTGTGCAGGTGCCAGTGTGTGCCCCAGGGTGTCACTGGGTGCCCGTGCGTGCCCCAGGGTGTCACTGGGTGCCTGTGCGTGCCCATGCATGCCCCAGGGTGTCAGTGGGTGCCCGGGTGTGCCCCAGGGTGTCCGTGGGTGCCCGTGCGTGCCCCAGGGTGTCAGTGGGTGCCCGTGCGTGCCCCAGGGTGTCAGTGGGTGCCCGTGCGTGCCCCAGGGTGTCAGTGGGTGTCCGTGCGTGCCCGAGCTGTGTGCGGGTGCCCGGGTGTGCCCAGGGGCCGGGGCGGGGTGGCCGCGGGGGCGGAGGCTCGGGTCCCGCCGGGGACGGGGCGGGGAGGGGGTGTCGCCGTCCGGGGGTACCTGGCTGGAGATGAGGTCCTCGCAGACGGACAGGGCCATCTGGATGGCGTTGGGCTTGTGGGTGACGGAGGTGGCGTTGAGCTGGAGCTTCCAGGTGCCGTGCCGCTTGTTGGCCTGGTTCACCGCCTCGCGGAAGATCTGCTCGTGCTTCTTGGTGCTCAGCACCTCCGTGCGTGCCCGAGCTGTGTGCGGGTGCCCGGGTGTGCCCAGGGGTGCACGGAGCGCGCAGCCTGCCGCGCTTACATAAAGGCTGCAATGCGGGCAGCGCGCCCCGGGCCCGGCAGGACCCCGCACGCCGCGGCTCGGCCGGGGGGCACCGCGGGGCCGCTCGTGCTTCTTGGTGCTCAGCACCGCGCCGATATTGACGATCTTAGGGTCGCAGCCGGCGCGGGCGAAGGACGAGGAGAAGAGGAGGGCGAGCAGCAGCAGCCGCATGGTGCTCATCCACGGGCGGCCCGGAGCCCGCCGGGCCCCCCGCGCCCCCCGGCGCTGGCAGGCGCGGGTCCCGCTGTCCCCGTGCCGGGCTGCGGGGTGAGGGTGCGTCCCGCGCCTTCTGCGAGAATCGCTTGTGCGGGAGGCGCGGGGTTGAGCTCTGGGGGTGCCGCTCCGCCCTTTTCACCTGCAGTGCTCTTTTGGGGATCAGGGCATTCCCGGTGCCTCGGAAGGCACGGACACACCGGGCATTCAGCAAACCAGGGACTGGGGGTAAAACACGGTCCGTGGGTTTGTTCTCCACACCAATATTCCCAGTTATGCAGCACCTCTGCACGCTTCCGCAAGCTCTGCCTGGGGACAGCTGTGTGTGACATGGACTCTGTCATGGTCTGTGCTCTCTCCAGGGCTGGGGAGCCCTCCCTTGACCAGCAGAGCTCCTGGGCAGAGATGTTCAGCTGACGCTCAGCCTGGTTCCTTGGCTTCACTCTGTCCCTCCAGACAGAGCCACCACACTTCCAGACATTAGCTCACAGGGCAACCAGCCATTTCCCTCTATTAAATTCACCAAATTTCTCTGGGATATAACCTTAAGATTTCTCTGCTGAGGAGATTTCTTGAGGTTCTCATCATCTCCCTGTTGTTGGGCTACCATTAGCCTCCCTTAAGGAAATGGAGGCACAGCAGCCAGTGGCCAACATTTCTCCACCGCAGAAAGAGACGGAGTTTCACTCCTGGACTACATCTGTTCCAGGGCCAGAGGGATGAGGTGGCCAGAACAGCACATTGCTCCCCAGACCTGCCACTTTGGCCTTTTTGGAGAAAAACAGCAGGTTTCAGGTAGTGAGAGGGTGTTGCTTTGTCACTGCATGGGACAAACACCACAGCCAGCCAGGGCAGGGCATGGTCCGAGCGCTGCACAACCAAAACCACCAGGGATATTTTTACACCACCATTTCTGGGGTGCTGCTGCAGCCCACCTCTGTCCTTCCTTTGCAACGTGAGTTGAAGCAGAATATTTTCCCCCAACGCAAATTTTCTCACTGGCATCTCTGAAGTGTGAGTTGCTATGGAAACCATTTTGCCTGTGTCCCACATTGCCCACATGCACTCGGAAGGAGCTGCAGGAGCAAAATGGCCGTTGTGTAACGCTGCAGGGCTCAGCGTGCCTGGGCTCGCGGGGCCCTGCAACCTCTCCCAGCTGTGAGACCCTCTCAGGAAGCTGCAGACCACGGCTTGGGGAAGCAATGAAAGCCATGGAGGTTCGGTGTGCTCCGTGAGAGAAGGAAAATGGCCCCACCTTGCCTTAACTCTTGCAGTGCTTGGCATGAAGCTCCACACCAACCCTGCTGTGCTCTTGGAAGAGACTTCCAGGAAAGCTTAACTCTTTTCAGTGTCACCATGTCACTGCCACTCCTCCACGCATGGAGCTGAGGGACTGGCTGGATTCACATGGTGTGGGTTTGTCTTGAAGGGACAAAGGGTGAAAGCCAAAGAGGGTTGCATCCCTACCCTCAGTCTGCACAGAGCTGACTTCATTCCTTCATTCCTTCCTCTGCCTACCAGCTGCACCTGCCATAGGTTGTGTGGGAAGAAACTGTTCTGGAGGGGGCTGTACAGACCTGGATCCTGGTGGGTGCGATGGCAGTAGAATAACAAAGTCAAGACCTGGCCACAGCAGGTGGCTTGGCAGAGAAGACAAAGGAAAAAGGTAGGCTTTGAAACCTTATTTGGAGTGCAAGAGCTCTTTCCCTCTCATTACCTGGAGTTCCATGCAGGGAGAAGGAGTGCAGCTATTGAGTCCCTCCTGTGCTGCCCAGGAGTGAGGGATGGCCATGCTTAGGATGGAGCCTACCATGCTGGCAGGCTCTTCCCTCTGTGCCTCCATTCATTTTTTGTCTCCAGAGACTCTTGTTTCTGGCACAGTTGTGGAGATGTGAAAAACACCTGCTTCCCTCTCAGGTCATGCCCCCCACGGGTGTGCTGGCAGCAGGAGCAGCCCGGATGACAATGCCCCACAGCCAGGCTCAGCCAGCACAGATGTTGTCACCACACGAGCCTCCCTCTCGCTGTGTCCTCAGGCTCTTTGATCCTCTGAAGGCAGAGGAGTGTGCAGGGCTTTCCCAGGTAGGAGCTGTACGTGGGGAGCACAGCCACATCCACCAGCTGCTCCTGGCAGCCAGGGGTGCTCTGTGCTTTCCCTGTTGCTGCCTCCTGGCACATGGGGGCCACCTCCTTGGCCATGGCTGAGGGCAAGCTCTGACCTGGGTTGCCTGTTAGCAATTGGTGCACTGTGATGCTGCTCTTGATGTGGCACCTCCTGGATGCAGGGGTTGGACATGAGTGTGGGAGGGGTGTGGGTGAGGTACCCCTCACCAGTGAGTGCTGCAATTCCTCCCAAGGCCAGAGTGACTCAGTGTAAACCTGGAGACCTCAGAGGAGCAGCACTGAACCCAGCTGGAAACTTCACCTACCTCGGGGTAAGGCATCAGTCCCGGTGGTAGAAAAGGCAATAGGGAATTTCATAGAAGACAAAATTAATTATTAGGAATGTGCAATTTGCACCACTCCTTGTGGATCTACCAAACAATTCTTCTTTTGAGAAAGCGGAAATGGAATTGAGAGCAGTAACTGCAACCCAGACTATGGAAATGCTTCCTGTGTGCAGCTGCAAGGTTAATCTGAGGTGTAAAATGGAGCAAAGCACCCACAGAGTGCCCATGGCAAGGCTCCAAGGCCTGGTACTGAAGAGCTGGATGGGGGTGCTCCTACAGGGATGAAAGGATTTGCAATGCAGTTGCCACTTCAGTATTCCTGCCTTTGCTCTGGAAGCAATCACTGGTGATAAAATCTGCAGCAAATAGTGATGCCAAAGCACTTGGATTCTTTGATAAGCACAGAACTGGAATGTATTTTAGGACAGCCAGTGAAGAGCCATGAAAGCAGAAGCAAGTATTGTTAGTCCTGCTCTTCGGACAGGACTGCAGATCCAGTGGAGACATGGACTGTAAACGTGGTCTCTAATACTGACCTGGGGGTCAGAGATCATGAATTCCAAAACAGAAAGGTGGCATTGTCGTCCTTGGAGTCACCCTGAGGGGACAGAGCAGCAGCTGGCAGTGACTTGAGCCTCTGCAGGAAGCACTGGGGAATGCTGCACAGGAAGGCTGCCTGCAGATCTGGGGGTCACATTCTTTACAAAGAGGCTGAAAAACGGAGAAACCATCCTTCAGAATATTTGGAGGAAAACCTCCCTGTGAGCTGCTCCAGCAGAGGGGAGAGTGGATACAGTCAGAGAGTGCTGCCTTCCAGAACAGGGACAGAGAACAGCACCAAACCCAGCCTGAGGTCTGGGCAGGGACAGGGGACAAGGGAGGGGGTGCAGGGCCCCAGCAGCTCCTCACAACCCTCCTGGAGGCTGGCACAGTGTGACCTCACTGCCAGTGCTCTGGGGACTGTGGTTTGTGTGAGCAGCTGGGACACAGCAGGATGTCCTTGTCACAGGATCAGCCACCCAGACAGACAGGCAGTGACTGGAGTCTGCAGGGGAAGGTGCCCGAGGGCTCTGTGCTTGTGGTGAGGGAGCTGCAGGGAGCAATGGGGTGGAAACCAAGATGGGAGTGTCTGAGCAGCCCCGTGGTTGCTTTTGTGCGTTCAAGCCCTGTCTCCCGTTCTTTTCCAGGCAACATCCAGGATGGACTGCAGTCCCTAAGTCCCTGTGCTCTTCCTGAATGCCTTCCCAGCTGAGAGGGACTGAGCCAGCCTAGTCTGCAGTTCAGAAGTGTCTGCTGGAGTTCCCAGGCAGCACAGCTCCCTGCTCTAGGTGTCCATGGGCATCCGTGTTGCCTTTGCCCAGCTCTCCCCACAGGAAGGAGCTCCAGGCCCCCAAGGCCTTTGACACCCTCCTGAGCAGAGTGTTTGGCACATCTGGAACCCCTGCTGCCAGACAGGAGCTGCAGCACCACCCTCCAACAGCTGATGAGAATGGAGGTGTCTCCCCCTCCATCACCGTGTGCAGAGACATTCCCAGCATCCAGCAGAGCTCTGCCTTCAGCCAGGAGCTGGGCACACCCAGGGATGGGGAGCTCAAACAAGGGGCAAGCAGTCAGCCTGGAACACCATGGTGTTCCTGGGCAGGCAGGGGGATCTCGGGTCAGACGTAAGAGGATGGGACGTGGAACATCAATGGCTGGAGGCAGAGACGGTGAGAAACCCCAAAGCACCTCCTGTGCAACCAGAGGGAGCTGGAGGTGCAGAAACACAGTCAGATGTGCAGTAGGAGGGGTGGGAAGTTCAACTGCGAACATTTTCCAAGGGAAAACCAGGATTTGCATGTTTGAAATGCACTGTAGGGAAAATTTCATTTTGATAACTTTCCAATTTTCTGCTGGAAAGCCAGCCAGAAGCTGGGCTTCAGCTTCCTGCACATCGTGTCCCAGGAGACTGGACAGCTTGTCCTCAGGGACTTCCAGTGCCCTGGAACTGCCACACAGCAGGGGCTGGAAAGCACCTCAGAGAGACTGGGCACTGCTTGGGGATCTCCTGCCCTTCTTCACCTCAGAGAAGCCTGGCCAGGTGATGGGGTGATGGAGCATGTGGGGAACATCAGCCCCCTGCAGCCCTTGGTGCCTCCGCCACGCTCAGGGTGTCCCTGGGAAAGCTCCCTAGTGGGATGGGGCTGCCTGCCTCCCACAGCAGGGCTGACACCAGCAATGTCACCCTCCCTCTCCAGGGACTCTCTGGGGACCCTGGGGCACAGCAGCAATCTCCATCCTGTCCACTGCAAGGAGTGGTGGTTGGTGCCTGTGCAGCACCTGCTCAAGCAGAAACCATCCCACTGTTTGGAGGGGCTGAAGGGGCCAAACTCCCTGGGAAAGGGGCCAGAGGAGCTTCTCCAGGTGTCTGTCTGTCCCCAGCAGAGCCCAGATGGTGACAGGCACCACTGCTGGGCACAGGTGCCATGGCTGTGCCCTGTCAAGGGGAGGGGGAGATCTCTGGGCATTTCCAACCTCTTGGAGCTGCAGAGAATCTGAAACAGAGGAAGGAAAAAGGGGTCAGTGACAAATGAGGTGCTCTGGAGTTTG